TTTTGTGTCACCAGCATACTAAGGCCAGGCTGAAATGATTTTATAGTACCAACTCTAACTAACGAGGCCACATGATCATGGGTTAATCTGGATCTTTACGAATGTTTAATTAATTCCAGTAATGCAAAAAAGTTACTTTTATCATTTCTTGTATAAATCAGTAAAAAAACAAATGACAGATTTTTTCGACAAGACATTTCGCACCACATTGCGTGGCATAGGATTGCTTGAATTATTACTGATATTGATTTTTAGTAACTAAGTCGTTGTATAATTATATTAAACAAACACATGGAAATTTTCTGTTCGAAGTTGGTCTTCGAATTTGTCATATTTGACTGCTGAGCTTATTGTGTTTTTTCATTGTATTGATGGAAATATGACAAATTAAACAATGTGCTTCAGAATTTTGTGAAAAGCAGAAATGTTACAACTCCCATTTTCTTCGAAAATGCCACCTTCTTCATGTACTTTGCGTTTAATTTAATCACTCAAGTGTTTTATTCAAGTATTTTTTTGCAAGCTTGATGTGTATTCTTAATTTGGTCAAAATGTGGACAAAAAAATTAATATTCCAAAACTACTTTCAGTAAATTGTTTTCTGTGTGAATAATCAATTTCACTTTAAAAGGTTTGAAAAATCTATTACATTTAGATAAAAAAAAAACTTCCAAAATACTATTACAATTATTGTTAAGCGTTGGAGGGCCGCATTGGAAGTTCTCTGGGGCCGCGAGTTTGAGATCCCTGGTCTAGATTGAAGTTGTCCAAAAAATATATGATAGTATTATATCATAAATGATGATTATACCCCTTCCGGAATTTCTTCTATAGTACTACCGAAAGTTGATGAACCAAATATAACACAGGTGCAGTGAGTTACCCGTAATCCTCATTTTCCAAAGCTGTTTTAAGTATGTCTGGCGTGTTTCGTGCCTTTTTACAAATAAGACCGAGTATGCAATTTTACGCTTTGGAATTTTTAGTTATTTTCCTCAAGCCCTGCAGGATGTGGGGGCCATACACAACTCTACCGGAGGGTCAAATGTCTTTGCATGCCTCCATAGGTTGTTTTTCTATTGCAGAGTACTCTAATTATATTTCTTGGAATCACACTGTCAGTGATATGTCGCCAGACTTCTGATATCTCCCTTTCTGCTATAGTTGTCCTGTGAATAAATATTAGGAAATTGAGATTAGACGAATAGTTGAAAGTTTTGCTTTATGTCGGCTTAATTTCTTGATTGATATACTTACTATTTCTGCTATTGCCTCTTGTGCTGTAGGAGTCTCACAATGCTTAGACAGGTTTGTCCACAACTTTCACATCTGAAGAAAGAGAGGAGATTTATTAATTTTCGTTAAGAATAAATAAAGCAGTCTATATGATTTAGAATGGAAAAGCTAATAAATCCAATATCTCATGTTTTATGTAAAAAATATTTTACTGAATTTGGTATATGAACCAACTAATAAAGGGGTTTAGTCAGAAAATTACAAGCATTCGTTGCTCCAAATACTTGAGAGATCAGACTATACAATATAGACCGGTATGAGTGAAATGTTAGGTGAACTTGTTAACACTTTGATTCAATACGCAAATAAAAGTGAATGCGCAATTGTATGTTACAATGAGCAGCAATCAACAATGAGTATATATCCTCACTGATTAAAAAAATCTAACTGGAGGTGCATGAACTACTTGAAACCATAAGGGGTAAGTAAATATGTAATTTGGCAAATGGGCAACTACGTACCGTACTGAATTAATAACTTCGTAGTATTTGACAAAGGCTGGCTTTCCCACATGTACTTAACAGTGCGATGCCCAGGTGTGATATACAACAATAGTATTTACCTTACCTTTTTCAGATTTCTTTTTACCTTAACTTTCCAAAATATCATTAAAATCGACAACAACTGTCAAAGCAGGCACGAACACCATTCGTGCTACGCCTTGAAAGCAGCACACATCCGCTCGTTTTCGTCTCGTCAAGTATGTGCATTGGAGCGTGCTATCGAATACGATCTTCGGACAAAAATGCCGGAGTTGCGCATCATGTTGTTTAATGTCATTGAATCAACCTAAATAAAGATGTGAGGGTATACCTGTAGTGACGCCAGGAAATATAATATTAAATATAAATTATATATGAAATCGGCGATCTTGGAAAGGTATTGGAAGTTATGATTCATGAAATGGTGCATGTATCTGGTGTTTTATTGCATGATTGAGGAACCGATCACGGACCAAAATTTCGGAAAAGAGCACGCGTATTGTAAAAACAGTCAACGATCAAAGAAACAATCTTCTCTCGGAACTTCGCGCCCTAGATGTAAAATTCAAAAAGTCAAAAACGGAGGCACAGTTCGGAGGCCAACGTTATGAAATATATCTGCAACTAGACATTGTAAATAATTCTTAAGTTTAAGTTTTTTCCAAATTTTTTCGATTATTAATTTAAATAAAATTTTTAATGTAAAGGTGTGTTTGATCAATGACATTAAACAACATGATAGGCAACTCTGACGTCACTCCATAAGACTACATGCGAAAGATTGTATTTCATGATACGCTCTAATGCACATATCTATCATTTCATGTATAGATCAGTAAAAAAACAAATGGCAGATTTTTCGACAAGACATTTCGGGCTACATTGCATGGCGTAGGGTTGCTTGAATTTATTATTGATATTGATTTTTAGTAACTAAGTCGTTGTATATTTATATTAATATACAAACACATGGTAATTTTCTGTTCGGAGTTGGTCTTCGAATTTGTCATATTGACTGCTGAGCTTATTGTGTTTTTTCATTGTACTGATGGAAATATGACAAATTTAACAATGTGCTTCAGAATTTTGTGAAATGCAGAAATATTGCAACTCCCATTTTCTTCGAAAATGCCACCTTCTTCATGTACTTTAATTTAATCACTCAAGTGTTTTATTCAGTATTCTTTTGCTAGCTTGATGTGTATTCTTAATTGAGTCAAAATGTGAACAAAAAAAAATTAACTTTCTAAAACTACTTTCAGTAAATTGTTTTCTGTGTGAATATTCAATTTTACTTTAAAAGGTTTGAAAAATCTTTTACATTTAAATAAAAAAAAATTCAAAAATACTATTACAATTATTGTTAAGCGTTCGAGGGCCGCACTGGAAGTTCTCTGGGGCCGCAAGTTTGACATCCCTGGTCTAGATTGAAGTTGTCCAAAATATATAACATTATTTTATCATGAATCATGATTATACCCTTTCCTGAATTTCTTCTATAGTACTACCAAAATTTAATGAACCAAATATAACACAGGTGTAGTCAGTGACCCGTAATCCTCATTTTTCAAAGCTGTTTTAAGTATGTCTGGCATGTTTTGTGCCTTTTTACAAAGAAGACCGCTTATGCAATCTTACGCTTTAGAATTTTTAGTTATTTCCCTCAAGCCCTGCAGGATGTAAGGGCCATACACAACTTTACCGGAGGGTCAAATGTCTTTGCATTCCTCTATAGGTTGTTTTTCTATTGCAAACATTTATGGAGTATTCTAATCATATTTCTTGGAATCAAACTGTCACTGATATGTCACCCGACTTCTGATATCTCCCCTTCTGCTACAGTTGTCCTGTGAATAAATAATAGGAAATTCAGGTTAAACGAACAGTTGAAAGTTTTGTTTTATGTCGGCCTAATTTCATGATTGATATACTTACTATTATTGCTATTGCCTCTTGTGCTGCAGGAGTCTCACAATGCTTAGACAGGTCTGTCCACAACTTTCACATCTGTAGAAGAGGAGATGTATTAACTTTCGTTAAGAATAAATAAAGCAGTCTATATGATTCAGAATGGAAAAGCTAATAAATCCAATATCTTATGTTTTTTGTAAAAAATGTTTCACTGAATTTGGTATATAAACCAACTAATAAAGGGGTTTAGTCAGAAAATTATAAGCATTCGTGGCTCCAAATACTTGAGAGATCAGACTATACAATATAGACCGGTATGAGTGAAATTTTAGGTGAACTTGTTAACCCTTTGATTCAATAAGCAAATAAAAGTGAATGAGCAATAGTATGTTACAGCAATAACTATATATCCTCACTGATTAAAAAAATCTAACTGAAGGTGCATGAACTATTTGAAACCATAAGGGGTAAGTAAATATGCAATTTCGGCAGATGGCCAACTACGTACCGTACTGAATTATAAACTTCGTAGTATTTGACAAAAGCTGGCTTTCCCGCATGTACTTAACAGTGCGATGCCCGGGTGTGATATACAACAATAGTATTTACCTTACTTTTTTCCGATTTCTTTCTACTTTCAATTTTCCAAATATCAATAAAAACCACAACAACTGTCGAAGCAGGCTCGAACACCATTCGTGCTATGCCTTGAAAGCAACACACATCCGCTCGTTTTCGTCTCGTCAAGTATGTGCATTGGAGCGTGCTATCGAATACGATCTTCGGCCAAAAATGCCGGAGTTGCGCATCATGTTGTTTAATGTCATTGGTTTGACGAAACAATAAAATTTCTCACTATGATTTCTGTTTCATAAAATGTAAACTTTATCATCTGATTCATATAAAATGAGCATCACAAAGGTTTTCGATGATGACTTTTTGCACCGATTACATATCTGTAAATAAAAACCAATTTCATAAACATTTTTCAAAAGTTTATACTTCACATTGGACCCAATTTGGATCAAACTTTTTGGGAATTCACCACAATTCCAGACACTTATTTATGAGGCGACTAAACGGCTATGGAATGATACGTTCATGTAGTCTTAAAACAGCTCATGAATTCGGTTTATACTAGTTTACATATATTTCATCAAATCATTCTGTCTTACGGCGACAGCGGAGGCGAGGTAGAGGACCAACTGTTCGACCATAAATGTTACATAATGTGTGATGTGTCTGGTTCGACGGAGCCTCCTCGTGGTCGTCGCTCATGATCATGAATAAGCGAAATAAACTCTTATAAACCATGACTAGCCGTATTGGGTCATCTCGTCTGTTGCTCAGTGATTCTGCTGTTTTGATTTTGTTAACTGCTTGACGTTGCATTTTGTATAGCTGTGAGCTTCAAAAAACTTTGAGTGAAGATGATCAGTTACGAGTGTCCCATGGACGATGGGTTCCAGCAAGAAGAAGTGAGCACTGGGGTAAGTAAACGCGGCGAAACGTTAGCCTTTTGTATCGTACCGTACATCTTTACTTCTAAACTACAGTACTACTACCGGTACCGGTACTTGGTCTGTAGGTTTTTGTTTGTAATGACAGAATGCTGCAATATAGACTATCCCACATTCAGACATTGTAGCCAACCTGTGATACAGTGATGGGTTATACAGCTACGTGCTTGATATAATGTTATATGTATACTGGCAAATGCTGAAATGGCATCCATACTAGATTTGTAGTTAGCCCAAGTTTTCTTGCTCAAGAAAATTTCCATGATTCAAACTTCCTAGAGGTTTTACTCACTTTTAGTTTTGTTTCAGACATCCATCATGGCGGTAGAGTTTGATGGGGGTGTTGTTATCGGAGCAGATTCAAGAACAACATCTGGGTATTGATTTAATTTTTATATAAAATGGGTTCATATTGTTTAAACACAAGCTTTTTTCAAGCATTGGATCATCCGAATTTGACAATTAACATATCATATTGCATGTCTATTGATATTTTACATCGATCATGTGGAGTTGCTTTGTAAAAACTGAAAAAATATAGTTTTTATCTCATACAGAATTGACACACTTTATTATATTTTTCTTTGAAGAGCATACATTGCGAATCGTGTGACAGACAAACTTACGCCGATACATGAAAGAATATTCTGCTGCAGATCAGGTTCTGCTGCTGATACACAAGCAATTGCGGATATAGTTGCAGCTCATGTTGAATTAAACGGGTTTGTATTACGACCTATTGGTTTTGATGAAGATTGGAGATGTCTATTTCTTCAAGTCATCGTATTATTCATTAGGTCTAAATATTTGAATAGAAATCATTCATTATACTGATTGTGTTTTAATTATTAGTAAATAAGTTAGTTATGTGCGAGAGGACTGCTGGACTCCTCGCCGCCGTAGGGGGGGTCGCGTAACCGCTGGCCGGTTACGGCTTCCTCTACCATCAAGTCCATACCGAAAACAAACAAATAACTAACTAATCCCATACCCAACATGAAATGGTAACCGGACGAGAGGCTGTGGTTTGCCATATGGTCAAGCCGTCTTATCGTCTTTCCATGTAAAATCCTATCCTTTTGCAGGATTGAAATGGACAGTTTACCTCGAGTTAGAACAGCAGCACAAGTTTTTCATCGAATGTGTTACACCAATCGTGATAGCCTATTAGCTGGTATTATTGTTGCTGGTTGGGATCCGAAGGAAGGAGGCCAGGTAATGTCAATCTCTTCGTTGCATCGATTATTGATACTATAATACTATTATTATTTTTGACTGCAACACTGTTGGTATCTTTGTCCTAATTTTAAAAGTGTTCTCATGAAATTTAAGCAACATTTCTGGATTCTTGCCACTCCAAGACTGTCAAAAAACTCGTGCAAAAACCTCATGTATTTTGTTTAATTTTTAGGTGTACACAGTCCCACTCGGAGGTATGCTTGTAAGACAACCATTTTCTATCGGAGGTTCAGGTAGCACATATATTTATGGACATGTTGATTCAACATTTAAAGAAAATATGACCAAGGAGCAATGCCTTAAGTTTACTGCAAATGGTATGGAAACTTTCTAAAAATATATTTTGATATATTCCAAAAACCTATTGGATCTACTGCCATATTTCTTGTAGATACCATAGCAGATAGAACTAACTTTGCAGCTCTCTTGAAACAGGTTTCATTTATACACTATTCATACTCGGCTATGTGGCACATCGTGCTAAACAGTGCGAATACGCTCGCCACTGCAGCTCTGATCACCTTGTATGGGTTCGCAGATTCAAATCGATATTTATGTGCTAGAGGATTGCTGAAATCCTCGCGGTCGTAGGGTGGTACACATCAGTTGGTCTGTTACAGGCTACTCCACCATCACGTCCATGCATCTGAAAACAAATAACTGGCTAACTAATGCCATACTCAACATGGACCAGTAACCGGACGAGAGGCTGTGGTTCACTATATCAGCGCTACTCAACTATTTTTACTGAAGATCCGCATACAAAACTTCAAAAATATTTGGGTCCGGTCTTTCCAGAAATTTTATTTCGGCATCCTTAAACACGAATATTCTCGGCCGATTAATGATTATTAATCAAGATTGTTTATTATGGCCTTATAGTTCTTCTCATATATATTTAATTCTATAAAAGTGATTTTTTAAACGGAAATTTCAAAAGTGGGGCTAATGATCCAAAATAAAGAATTAGGCGCGGTCCGAATCGAATACCCGAAAGGTCCGGATTCGGACCTCGGTCCGCCAGTTGAGTAGGCCTGCACTATATCATTAAGCCCATTGTGAGTTTTTCACTCTTTCGGGATAAAGATTTAATTCCTATACGTTATGCGACTTTCGCTCTGGAAATCTCTGATTTGTGGGCAGCTGTTCTATTTTAAAGGAATGGTTCAGCATTGCCTACCCAATTTACTAACCTGGGAGAATTGAATGCGTAATTTTAACGCGCGACGCCTCATATTCATAGTTAAGTCCTACGCTTTTACTATACCACGTGATATTACCGTATAATATATCCTGTATATATTATACAAACAAATGTTGTTCTTACCACTTCATGGCAGCTCCTGCCACGAATGAACCGCGGCATCTCTTGCCATGGTGTCATGGCGCTATTCAATAATGTATATTCACAAAGTTATGTACTAGGTTCTAGTTTATCATGTATAATTATATCTATCTTAATTACTTAAACCTGAAACGTAACCCCAAATCTATTAAAACAGTATCCATAAGAAAAATATTCCAACTCACCCAATATTTGTTACCATCAGAGGCAGCCCTGCCATTACAGCCAACATGCCTTGGTTGCGGCAGCAAAATTTTGCCCGCCATTGGTTTGGAAATTCTGTCATGGTTTTGTGGCAGCTTCAGACGCCACAAAATATTTGAAACTGCCCTTGTAGGATTCAATCTAAATGTGGAGATCCTTGTGTATATATATATAGGATAATAGCTAATACATATACTGTATGTTGATTTTTAAATTCCAGCTTTGGCATTGGCAATGAACAGAGATGGATCAAGTGGAGGTGTAATAAGACTTGCTGCTATTGATAAGAATGGTGTTGACCGAAAAGTAATTCTAGGAAGCGAGATACCTAGATTTTTTGAGGGTTGAAATATGTCATAGATCTGTAAAAGGACAAAAACTTGAACTCAGTGAAGAAAGCGTCGCCCAAATCTTTTTGCATGATGAGCACACATCACTTTAGTGTGTAAACAATATTGAAACAGCTGCTTCAGATTAGATGGATGTACAAATACCCTGTTTGGAATTTGTGTACCTGTTTTATATAATAGGTTAATTCTAATAAATTGTCTGGTTTATTCTGCATGACTCTATATTTCTCCTGGGTATTTTCAGTCAGGTTGCGTTGTGAACAGGCTTGTGAACTAAGAGATTGTTCCAAACACAGGTTTAGAAAACAATTTAGCCACATTACTTTCATTGAAGTAGATTGGACATGCTGTGAAGCTGTTGGGAGGGTTGAAGCATGGTCCATTGTAATAAGTGCCTTTTTCATGGAGCAATTCGCGGGGACTACATATTTCTAATGTGCCTCCTAGCTGATCCTACCGGGTCCTCTTGTTCAATCCTTCATGCGGCACTATCGAAGTTCAACCAAATCTATCATCAAATCAGATTTGATATGCTTTTACCTTTCACCTCAATGCTTCTCTCCTGACATCAAACAATATATTTCGCTTCCACTACCTCAAACTCCAGGTCGATTCCCATTACTTACACCACTAAATTCAAGTCTAAATAATTCAAAATGTCTTTTCAAGTTTGTAAATAGTCTTGATTTCTTACTAAATTTTATTGCATCCCAAACACAGCATTTCATGATCAATACAGTGGGTAAATTGAAAAATTACATAAACTGCATATAGCACTATTATAAGGCAAAATATTATAACTAACAAAAATATATAATGAGACATGCAGCGTTATGGTTGTATTCTGCATTCTCACTGATAAGCAGATGCTAGCCATGGACCTGACCTATTACAGTAGACCAGTGGTTTTCAAACTTTTTAAGTCACGCCCCCATTTAGAATTTGAAGTCTTGCGCCCCACCCCTAACAATAAGCTACAAATAACAGATATTACGGCGAAAGTATGTTTCATCCAAAAAACATGTGGATGGAACGTAAATATCCAAAATAAGACTGGCAAGATCTAATTTTTACTTTTAATTATCTTCACGCCCCCTTGTGGGGTGCGCCCCATCATTTGAGAACCACTGCAGTAGACAATACAGTAATCGAAAAAGTTGATTGATATACCAGCTAGTCGCTACACATAACATAAATACACCTTTATACACTGGAACTCTCAAGTCGCAATTACTTGCAATAGTTCATAGCTCATTATGAAAAAAGGAAGAAGCATCAAATAGTTTTGTTCCTGTTAAATATTCACTAGCTTGCTTCACTTCATCTAGTGTTAATTTACCATCTGCATCAGAATCAACATAAAACATCATATCATGAGCATCATTCCTTGCATTTAAATTGCTGAATGGATCGAGATACACCTAAAAATTGAGTACATGTTTGAGAATCTAGTATTTTAAAAAATGGGGCATTCATATAAGTAATGCCCTGATTGATTTTGTGCTCGGTAATGCCTGATGTGACAGTTAGTCAGAACTTTCACAAGTAATGTATCCAATTGGAGACTTTGGTTAAAATAAAATGAAAAAGGATAAATAAGAGTTCTATGTAAATTTGCTGTTTCATTTTCTAACAGTGGCCTTTCTGTAGAATTTTTCATCTTCTGTCAATTATGGAAGAAGGGCCATCATTTGAACATGTTTTGATTTTAGGAAATACCTTATATCCATTTTTAAACCCACTAGAAACTCCCTAAAATGTGCAGAAACCTACCAAAATTAGAAGCAAACTATTACAAAAATGTGATTTTCTCAAAACCTTAGAATGTGGAATAAACTAATTTGGTTCTCCCGTCACGAATTATGTACTTTATCTTCTAGTGTGGTTTCGAAACTCCTGCTCAACTTTTGTTTCTGGAACAATCTACACGAACAATACACAAAATAAATATTTACCATTAATTCATCAAGTGTAAGAAATCCATCTCCATCCACATCAACATATTTTCTGAACTGATGAATTTTATCTCGAATAAGATCATCTCCATCAGCATAATCATCTAGATTTATATCATCACCAACAGGAAATCCGAATACAAACTCTTTCACATCAAGTTTATTGTTCGAATCATAATCTAAAAACAAGAGATTTTTTTGGTTTACAAGATATAAAAGAATTCAGAGAGGTGGCAGATGTAGACAGTACATATCAGACTGTACTTGAAAATTCATATCTAGGGTAAGATCAAGATCAAAAGGCATAACTCGATAGTACAAAAACCACATCACAAGAACACGAACCCAGTGACCACTAAACACAGTAATCCATGGCCCAAATGGGTAATCTTTTCTCTAGACCAGGGGTGTGTGACATTTTTTGTTGATGGGCCATATAACCATTTTCAGACATTTAGCTTGACCACACAAAATATTTAGCGTAGAAGGCAAGAGAACAGAATGCGGCTATCGCTTAGCTTTTCAGTAATAAATACCCTTGGCAAAACGGCGAAAGATTTAACGCAGCGACAAGAGCAAAGAAATATTATGTATTTTCATTCATTCGAGGGCATTCTCATACATAAACTGTCGGATTGGGATGTTATGCTTGATGGGGATAAATCTGAGTGGTATTAAGGGTCACACTGAATGGTTTCGCAGGCCGCCTGTTGCACACCCCTGCTCTAGACCGATTAACTAATTTGTTACAATACTCTGCCAACCGCAAAGTCAAAGTGTCACACCGACACAAATTAATGTTCAGTTTAGCAAGCGAAATACCTCTCTCTTCCATGAAATCTTTACAAGCAATCATGAGAGTTGCATTACTCATCTCTGGATGTTGAAACAATAGAAATTCCTTCTTAGAAAGATTTCCATCGTTATTTAAATCGGCCTGGAAAATCCAAATGGATAATTGCTCTTAATGACTATTATAGATGGGTTTCGTTGATTGCTAAAAAGCCATTTAGGGTAAAATGGTAGAATATAGTTAGGATGAGTAAGAAAAGGAAGTCTCACCTGAGTGAATAAGAGGGTTATTTTGACCAGACATTCTATTCAATAATTGCATACATTTATCCTAGATGCTTAGCAGTGAGAAAATTAATATATACCAACCTTCGCCCATTCCTCTTTGATCGTGTGTAATCTGGTTTCAATATACTGCTGATTGAATTTACTTTTACCATCATGAGAAGCATTGAAGTTCCTAGATGTAAAATGAAATTTTTAGTGTTTGACAAGTTTAACTGTAATAAAGCAATATATCTATGTCAAAACTGTTCACAACTACAAATACGTTTGGAATAGTATTTTATATATAACACAAGGGACTGAGGGAGATAATATGGCCTAATAATACGACTAACTATGGTCTCATGTTAGTTCACAAGTTTGGGAATGAGTCCAGCAATTTTCTTGCCTATAATTGCCCTTGTGAGATTGTATGGTAGTGATCATAAGTGTTTCAACGCTTAGTACAAAGTGTCATTCACCAAGTTGAATTGTTCAACAACACTGACTTGCTTTGCTCACAATAATTCAAGATGATTGGAATTACATTATCTGATATATTTCCGTTGAAGACAAGACATCTTGGTTATGTAACCAAAATAATACAACAAGAATATATTATAGTGACCACTTTTTTCATGATTATTATACCTCAAAGATTTAATGAAAGCAGCGTGAAATTGTTCGAAGTTTACAACAGTAGCTTTCTCTCCAACAATAAGTTTAAATTTATTCTCGCTTTCAGTTGTTGCTTGCTTCATATGATCGTTAACCATCATCATTATCCAAGCATGCAATTCACCTTCCTCAATATAATTATCATTGGTGACATCAGCCCTGTGATAATATAATATAATTAAGGATTTCTATTCTAAATAGGTCAAGTATAGGAGAAAAACGTACAAAATAATTGTACAAAATGGTTAGAACTTTTCAGCATTACAAGCTCAAGATCTCTGGTTCAATCTCCATACCTATCATCAACTGGGTGTAATAATTTTGTCAGGCAATATCAGAATAGAAAAAACCCACACCTACTAAAAATGGTAGCTGCCCACTTTTCAGTGGATGCTTGTTCTAACCCATGTTCGAAATGACCTCATAAAATAGTTTCAATTTCTTGTTAATAACTTTTCGCAAAAAGTCATAGCCATGACCTTTTTTACTCCAGGTTACTATCAGGGCCCAATAGTGTTAAAAGAATTTCATTTGACTGAGACTTCATTTTAACATATACAAATCCGATCCGATATGGCTTTTAAAATCATAAAAGAAAACTTAGGCGTATGTATCCAGTGGTGGGATTCGGTCGGTTCTATAGAACCCTCCCACGAAATTTTATGAGATCAGCGATGCGGTTAGCATTACTGGTTACTGTCAATGACTTTTTGTAACAGAACCGGGTGAAAAATATGACTTTTGCGATGGAACCGGCTGACAAAAAAATTGAATCCCACCACTGTATGTATCATTCAATTTTGTGTTAATATTATATTGTAATTCAACTCGTTTATTTAAAGAAGTTGAAAATTGAGACCTCCAACGCCAGAGAGAGTCAAATACAACTGCTCTGATTCCAATCTCTATTTCCACAGCCCCAGTTACAATTTATATGAAACATTAACATGGATACATACCATCATACAAGAATACTTATGAGCTCACTTGCTCTCGTAAATATCATGAAGCATGCTAATAGTGCTATAGCAATTGATTGCTTCTATTAGTTCATAAGTGAACCAAGGAAACAAGCTTAAAATGGGTTGTATTTGCCAAATTTGTAAATGTCCACTGGTGCGATATGAACTTTATATAAATTTCACAATTGAGTGTGTGACATTTATAGTTCACTCACTCTGTCAGGGAAATAACTAGACAAGAGCAAATTTCAAAATTCGGTCTACATTCACAACATTTATGATTTAACCTGTGAAAAATTTCTTCAAGTTTTTTCAACTTGTCTCCTTTTGTTTTTTTCTCATGAAAATGATGTTTTTCTTCACCAAGAAATATTTCATGATAAAATTCTGCATTCATATCACCATCTCGTTCAAACTTCACAGCATCAAGATGATCTGGAGGACCAAGATCTTGGTTATCTAATGCATCCTCTTTCCCACCTGTATGTTTTCGAACAATAAATGATTTATTCAAGTGATTATGTGAAAAATTTAGATCAGATAAAGTATGACAGAAATTATTCTAGTAAATGGACAGCCAAGCTCTTCAAATAGACACATAAAGTCCTTTTTATGCAACAAGTTTATCACCCAAATATGTGTGAAAGGTGTGCTGATAGAGTACTAGATAGGTCACCGATATATATATATGTCAGTCAATTATTGATTTCAGCTCTCTAACAAAACAACACAAAAAGTAAACAGACAAACAAAATATAAAGATACCTGGGAGGCGAGCGTAACTTAAAATAGAGTTAAAAAGTGTACAAGTACATGCCCACCGACCAAAAATAAAATAAGCACACAAAATACTGAAAGAGTGGACGCAATTCAGAATCGGGCAATACTTTTAACACAATTCAAGATATATACAAAACAAAGTTGATTTATATAGCTAAATTGTTCTCATTGTGGGCTATTAGTCTATCACATATAAGCCAATCACTGAATTACAGCTTATTTGAGAATGCTATTTATCAACTATGGCTAAGCGAAATGAAAGTAAACCCATACTAAATTAACTACAGCTTATCCCTATTTGACAAAGACAATACAGCAATATGGCACAACAATATATTAAAACCAAAAAAATCATTGAAAATATGCATTAAATAGATTTTCACCATTTCCTGATTTCAGTCAATTTATTTATTAAATATGGCACAACAATATATTAAAACCAAAAAAATCATTGAAAATATGCATTAAATAGATTTTCACCATTTCCTGATTTCAGACAGTAAATTTATTTATTAGAACAATATAGTTTGCACTCTAAGCTTACCTGTAAAATTGCCCAGGTTAAGTTTTTGGTGAATGACACCAGCGTAGCAAACACCATTTAAAAATGTGAAAATCACAAAGACAATATATTTCAAAACCATGTCGACCTTTAATCTGCTAGACCGCAAACCGTACCAATATAAAGACAGACTAAGAGTCCCTCGTCAACAAGTGGAACAAAATAAACAGCGGAAAGGCTGGGTAGAAACGTGGCTCTCGACGCAGTATACGCGATCATCTTATGAGGAAAACGTCAAAGTTTTTTAACACAAAATAAGCATGATACAGTGATGCTATACTAATTTTTATTTTGACGTATCGACGTCAAAAACGTAACTCTTGACGTAAACATGTGTTTTAAGCCAAGCGTGTCGGAGTAAACAAACACGTCAGCTGCTGCAATGAACTTGCAAATTCTGGTTATCGGCGGCTTTGCCACTGTCTGGATCTTTGTCTTTGAGAAATCACTAGCACGTGTTGTTGACTTTCATTTGATTTATCTGCTTAGAGCGAAAAAGAACAAAAAATCATGGCGGCTGTTAGAAAAAGTAGCAATCTATTGAAGACTCTTCATCGTAGTAGTGTGGGGTAAGAAATACAGTTATGAATATAATATATTTTATTATGGAGAATTTTGATTTCCTGAATTTTTAATAAAACTTTTTCGAAAGCATCAATTGCATATACCTGTGGAGTATAACCTTTGACAAATATCATGATTTGTTGCAAAAATAGACATTTATGAATAGGATAGCTCTAATTTTCTCAATTTCTTGAAAAATTATTCAAATTAAGCTTGGAGAACAGGCTAATACAGTCATATACAATCATATTTTCAAATTTTGTGTACTGATTGTACTAAATCGAATTTGATGTTTAACCTAAACGCAATGTTGCTAAATTTGTAGATTTTTGTTATCTTCCCTATTTCTACCTATTGGCAAGGTTTAATTATTCATGTATTTTGTTTGTTTCAGAATATTCAGAAATCAGCAACATTCAGTCAGTGGTAAGAGGGCATACTTTTTTCAGATATTATTTTTTATTGTCATGTAAATTTATATCATCGTTTCTTAGAAGAGGACAATTTCTATTCATGAATTTGGATCCATCTTTGCAGCTGTTAATGGGAAATATTTTCCGAATTTTGTCTGTCATGCCTTATACAGGCAGTTTTTTAAATGGAATTAATATGTATCGGTGATGTGAAAAATGTTTTCAATATGTGTTTAAATATTGTCCAAATAGCTTAGGATGCACATATCTTAATCAAGATGAGGAAATATTAAATGAAATTTTTTTTTATTTCTGATCATTATACTGAAAATTTATATTTATTATGTACAGGAGACGCAGAATATGCGATCGAGGTAACAAATTTTTCATGGATTTTTATACAATGTTTTTATGCCTCCCCCTCAGACCAAGGCTTTGTACAAGCATCCACTGATAGATGAGGGATGCTATACTTTGTAACAACCAAAGTCATTTCAGTTTGGCATTGCCTACTCAGTTTTTTTCACCCTGAGTATGATGGTGAGCTCTGAGATTGAACACAGCACTATAATTCCCTATGCCATCGCTCCCACTAAGTTTTCTTGCATATTTCTATTTACTAAATAATGTTACCGTATATTTAATGTTGATTTCTGCAATGTATGAACAGCGTTTTTTTGGGCTTAGATGGCTTGTTCAAACATACGGTATGGACTGGGAGTTTCAAAAGAGGTTGGAATGGATTTCAAGAACATGGGAGCAAAAAATGTTTGTGTAGTTACAGATAAAAATGTTAGTATCAATTGTAATGAATCAATCTTTATAAATATGTTAATTCCTTTTTATATGACATATTTATGTGTGTTTTTTACTCTGAACAAGGCTTTGTACAAGTAGCTACTTCTAAGTATGTATCTACTATAGTTTGGAAAGAAAGCTAAAATCTTTTCGGTTCGTGTTGCCTACCCAATTTATTACATGATGAGTGGGGTAGTGGGTGAGATTTGAAACCAAGGTGTTAACCTGCGATGGCAACATGGTTGGACCAAACATTTCAACCACCAGGTCATCGCACAGACATTTGATTTAATATATTTTGCTTGATTATGACAGCGGATCATGTTTAAATGGTGGTGCATTAGACTGTGCTTGAGGAACACGCTTGCCATCCAACTGGTGATTTGGCGTGAGGAATGCTGGGCCCATTGTTACAGCTTCCTCTATCTTCCAATTCCAATCATTGTAGAATAACTGAGAATTCATTCTCACCCTTTTTCTATAATTAGTGTTGGAGATTCTGAATTATCTTTAGATTGCTAAATTAGCTCCAATGAAAGATATTTGCGAAGCATTAGATCGCGAAAATGTCAAATACACAGTTTATGATGAAACAAGAGTTGAACCTACTGATGAAAGGTAATTTTGTTATTTACTATTGAACGAAAATGTTTTGAACAAGTAATAAAAGTGAAGTTAACTTTTGGAAACTTGGCTTCAGTTGGTCAAAATTCATACTTCAAAAAAATTGTTTGTGCATAATGCAGCTATTGCACATACGGTAAGTAATATACCATGAATAGTTGTTTTTCATTGTTATTGTCAACTTAAGGCATTGCAATCCTGGTTTTATTATAGGTAAATAAGATTCAACTGGGTATGTATTACTATATATTTAATTTTTACAGTTTTCAGCACGCTATCAATTTTGCAAAAGCAGGAGGTTTTGACAGTTTTCTTGCTGTCGGTGGAGGATCTGTAATTGATACTTGTAAAGCTGCTAATCTATATGCATCATGTCCTGATGCTGAACTTCTGGATTTTGTGAACGCTCCAATTGGAAAAGCAAAGCCAGTGGTCGATCCTTTGAAGCCACTTATTGCAAGTAAATCCTTTACTTATCTTTACCACGATACTTTTTTTAAATTTCAATGAGTGTGCAAATTTTTGCGCGAATGATGGTCCACTAGTGGGTTGTTGACTAAGTTGTATATCTTGGGTTCCCGCTCGTCTCTCCAGGGGCCATCTTGCACGAGGTGTCTACATAAGTAAGGCAGGTTATGCTGAACAGGACAGATACTGTTTGTTCCTGGTTTATGTGTAAGATGTCTGCTTACATAGAGCTTTGTTCGGAAATGTGCATCACAGAAAACGAAAGTGGGCAAAAAGTGGTTGAAGCTTAAAGAATTAACTATAATGAGCTTGATGGTATCGCAGGTTAAAATCTCAGTTTTAAATCCCATGCTGATCACCCCACCCAGGGTGTCAAATGAACCAGCTTCTTTCATATGGGTGGCTGCTTTTTTAGACCCTTATTCAGAGCAAAAGATTATAAATCCCTCATAAAAAAATTATCTGGCTAGGTAGTCCGATGCACAATCAGGGCCGGTTACTAGATCTGGGCCGTTAGTTTATCATATACTAAATTGGCTTTTCTCTGAATATCCTATATTATTTCCTTATCTTGAATGATAAATAATCTTTGTACAGTACCAACAACGGCAGGAACTGGAAGTGAAACAACTGGTGTTGCTATATTTGATCATCTGCCAACAAAAGCTAAAACTGGAATAGCAAACAGAGCACTGAGGCCAACATTAGGAATAGTTGATCCTCTCTTATTACAGTCCATGCCTAATCGAGTGACTTGTTATTCTGGATTTGATGTTTTATGGTATTCAATATTTTTTTATTTCAACCACGATCTGATTAAGTCTATATCAACACACTGCCATGCATTGGGTACCTACCCTTTTCTACAAATTGCCATATCACAACTTTCCTCACGTTCTCCTTAGTAGTGTGGTTCCTGGTTTGTAGGATTAATGTATTTTTTTTGTTTTTTTATTTAGCTGCTTGAAATTAGTAATGTTTTTTTCGTACCTTCCTTTGCCCTGAAATGCCATCATACCCTTTTTTACTTACGGTATATTATTCGTGCAAAGTGTGTTTTCTGTGTGGTACTACTGGCTACTGATTCAAAATCTTATTAAAGAATTCTGTAAAGTTTTAACTTTGTTTCTTTATTATAAAGTGATATTCGGATTAATTTATTCAAATGATATGGTTATTTGTAAAGTCGATTAATAGCCTATTTGAAAATATCCACATAGTAGGTATCTATCTAGACTGAATAATAAGAAGGATGACATTTATACCATTTATTTCAATCAACTTCTTATATATTTTAGTCATGCTCTCGAATCCTATACTGCAATCCCGTTCAATCAAAGAAAACCAAGGCCCAGCAATCCCCTCTATAGACCAGCTTATCAAGGAAGCAACCCAATCAGGTAAAGGAATAACAGACACATAATGAATATTGGTCTATTGTTTGCATTCAACGAACAACATTAATTGTACTTTTTGAAACTATAAAACATTTGTTCAAAAGACATTCATTTTAGGCAAATTGATAGGATAAGATTCAGGACTTTTCATATGGATATGCAAAGTAAATAAGATAAATATACTTGATATTTTGCCCTCTGTTGATAATCCATATTAGGTGTCGGAGCAGTTATTTTATCAGATTTACCAGTTAACTTTTCCAGATGCATGGACTGGGATGGTGAAGAAAGCTGAAATCGACCAGTAGTTAGATAAACTATCTTACAAGAGTCCACCAACGCTATCACACACGACAAATCACAATCAATTTACTTTAAATAAACAAAATCATGGCAAACAGTACTCAGTGTGGGTCTTTGCTTGGGGTCCCCAGAGAATCGCTTGGTGTCTCAGTTTCAGAAACCCCTGTGACCCTGTGCAGTCGTATATTCGTTAACATGCGAATTGTTTCACTTTTCAGTAAGCCCAAACCCCCAGTGGAGGTTTAATTCTACCATTGTTGCAATTGAACGTTTTCGCATTTGAGCATTCACCTTTCTACATATTGGCTTACCTATCATGAACTGGTAATTGAATGACACAGCGAACCTGACCATGTGATTAAGCCAACACATTACTCCACGTCCTCTAAATTGATGGTGGTTTTGTTTTATAAAACGAATAGCATTTATTTTACCATTTCTCAAAATTCAGTGATGTATGGACGAAACAGGCATTGCATGTTTGTAAATTGTATCTTCGTGATGCAGTCAGAGATCCAGGAAATTTAAAAGCACGATCGGAGATGCATCTTGCAAGTGTTTTTGCTGGAATAGGGTTTGGAAATGCAGGTGTTCATCTGTGGTGAGTAACACAAATTGTACAAGATATATTCAAAAAGCAATGCAAGAGATTGTGTGGAATATATGCAGCTGCAGTACTTTCACTATTGTTTCAAATGATTACCTCTTTGGCAAATATGATTGTCTCTAGCAAACTGTTCTTCATGATCTCCCTTTTATATACATGCCAGTTATAGGAGATGTGCACAATTAATGTTACAGTCAAAATTTTGGTATAAATCAAAATACATCTTTACCAGCTTTGTTTTATGTTACGTTCAATACACTTTTATGTGCCATCATTAGGTGCATGAAGCACATCAAAGTTCTTTTTACCCCAATCAAATACAAGACTTCATGAACACCCTGTATTATTATATCACATAAATTGATAATCTTCTGAGACCTCGATCCTCAACACAGCACTAAATATTTTGCCATTCTAAGTTGTTTTGATCATTTAACAGCAACTCAACTAAAAAGGTTTCAGCTCTATTTTTTGTATAATATCAATTATCTATACTAAAATAATTAACTTTTATTCTTTTCTGATTTTAGTCACGGAATGTCATATCCAATTTCTGGTCTTGTGAAATCATTCAAATCTTCTGATTATGATACAGATCATCCCCTGGTGGTAAGATTTTAATGCATGTAACTTTTGAAAAGGGTGTTTTTATATTCATCCTGTGGTGGAGGATTGCTTTTTGATTTATCGATGTATGAACTCTTGGCCAATTGCCATTGCGTAAAATGATGAAGCCCTAATTGGTTTCACCCTGGTGTAGGTGGTCGGTATGAGATTTGAAGTATACTTAGTAAATCTGGCTTATGCACCTAACTATAAATCGTAAATTATCATTGTCCAAAAGATGATATTTCAACGGAAATTTTAGTCATCATTAGAAATGTAATTACATTTATGTTTAATACTAACAAATTTTTACAGCCTCATGGTCTATCAGTTGTCATCACAGCTCCTGCTGTTTTTCGTTTTTGTGGTCCAGCATGTCCTGATAGACATCTGGAAGCAGCTGCGATACTTGGTGCTGACGTCACTAATGTCAAACATGAAGATGCTGGAAACTGTCTTGCTGATATCGTAACGAAATACATGCAAGACTTAGAGGTATGGTCACAATGTTTATTTATTTGTCATCCGAAAGTGTAGAATATCAAAATTCGTTGCTTCTATTATCATCATTCAATGACAGGGATCAGATCTGATGACTTTGATAATTTAAAAAAGAATTAGTTGGAGCTTTCAGACTACTGTGGTCAAAAAGTAGTTTTTGTTTTTATCCGATAAACCTAACACCGATTTGAAACAGAATGTTCCTGATCTCAAACTCTCCTTTTACTATTTCAGTAATTATCAAAATCATTCTTGATTTGAAACTAATTGGCCCTTCCCCATTATTCATAAACTGCTCCTCTAGAAAGTAATTTCAAATGAAGTGGTTGGAATAGAAACCGATTTTATAACCCTGATGATATCTTCAATCTTGACAGGTGCCTGATGGGCTTTCCGCTTTGGGTTACAGCTCTAGTGATATTCCTGCTTTGGTTAAAGGAACCATTCCACAGGAGAGAGTTACCAAGATTGCACCTAGGCCACAAACAGAAGAAGATCTTGCATTTATGCTGGAAAGTTCTATGAAAAATTACTGATTAAATGTTTTTCTGCTACCTAAGATTTCCACTTATCGTTGCAATTATCTTATAAATAATTTTTGGGTTTTTAATTAATCTAATTAATAACATATATAAATCATGTTCTCAAAGCAATTTTTTATTCCTCTGCATTAAAACTTAATCATTAACAATTCAAACTTTTTTGAAAACAAGGGTATCTAGGTTAAATTTTCTATCTGAAAACAAGCTTAGTTAGTTTTATAGCAATCCTACTTAGAATTTATTCATATGGCTTCTTACATGGTGACCAATCACCAATCGGGATAACAGATCTGAAATATCTATCTCATGTAAATGTTGTGCCATGGTCAGTAGCAAATAGGATATTTTTTTTACCTCAAAGCGGGACGCCTCCAAAGACACACCCCCTTAGCTGTGATTCTGTAACTTTACAGTTTCCGATTTTACTACATAGGCCTACATTTAAAGCCATCCCGGCTGTCTCCATTGACCATATTTTCATCGAGAGTTCATGCACATATTCTCTGTCTAAATATCGGGTTCAGTTCGAAAAATAGAAAGGAATAGACGCTAACAATACAAATGATCTGAATTTAGATTTTTTTATGTACAGCAAAAGGAATAAAGAATAATGAAATAGTCTGCCGTTTTCAAGCATTGCGAATTTACTTATTGGCCAAAGCATGATTTTTTGTAGATACCACCTTCAAAAAGACGTTGTTCAATGTTACATTCATGTAAATGTCCAAACAGGACCAATTAGAATTGATTTTACATGTGATACGTTCGCTAACAATGTTAGTGGGAAACAACGAAACAAACAAAATAACGCATTCACCTTCAGTAAGTAATGTTCGTGTAATACACTGGATGGCTGAACGCCAAAGCGGGACTTTTGGCTGACTTTATCGGGACAAGACGCTAAAAAGCGGGACTGGTAAGCCTAAATAGGAGGTATGGGAGTAGACGTTGGGGAACCATGCTCCACTGTTCACAACTATAAATAATGATCGATTAAATAAATAAGGGGCAGTTCGTTAATGGCAATTCTTTGAAATTCCCTATTTTTTGGTCCAACTCAACATCGGTAGAAGAAGATTGAGATGATTCCTGTTCATGGTCCCAAGAAATCGCAATAGAGGTTTTCCACAATGCTGCTTCAAAGCTCTTAACTACAATACACAAATTGGTTTCAACCATGTACCAATTTCGAAACAGTGATATTTTACAACATATGTGACCATCTTGAAGAATAGTTTGATTTTGTGTCCACACTGGAAAAACACTCAATTATTTAACAAATCACAGGATATCATAAGTTCCACATATGAAATACCAAAAACATCCACATTACAAATGTAGTCGAAGACAAGACTGGTGTCAGATTTTGTTGATGAGACAATGCGAGTCCAAATTCCGCGAAAGAGGTCTATACTTAGCTCCTAGCTTGAAAATAACACAATACATACATTTGTACAAATTTTATCAATAAAATAAGAAAAAAAGCAACTTTTTACAATGCATAAAATAAAACGAATCCCAAAAGTGCCTCAAAACCAGCAGTTTCTAATTTACTGCAAATCATAAGCATTTATTAACATATAGGAAAAACACAGCAACTTGATTGATTTATCGAAAATCTAACACTATACTTCTATGGAACTCATGAACATAAAGTGCATATTTGGATTATTTTTAAAGGTTGAAGTAAAAAATGAACAATAATGACTTCATCTGTCAGGCCGAGGAAATTTAATACAATATAAAATTTGATACTAAAACATAATTTTTAGTATAAAAAGAAAATTTGAACAATGAACTTTTTTTCACTAAAATATTATATACAAAAATACTGGATATAGGTTCATGACAATTACATTGATTAAGAAAAAATATTTCCAAAGATATTTACAGTGCATTAAAAACAAGAAAATTGCATATAGGCATATAATAACAATGATATAATGAATATTTGGCAGTCAGTATTTACAATGCAACTTGCATTTAATAAGTACAACAGTTCATAGAAAAAAAATCAAAAACAGTTTGAATTGAAATAGCATAAATAAGAAAAAAGCACCTCATGTCAATGAATCAATTGATTCTATTATTAATTACATTTTGGCGAAATTTTTGAGAAAAATTCGTAGACATACATTTCATAATGATTACCTCGAAATTACAGTAAATATTACAAGTGATTGTCAAAATTTAAAGTTTCTTTTGAGTGCAAACAAGGACGGGAAAAATCACACCAAATAATCTGTTTTTCTCCATACAAATCAGATATAATGTATATCGATGTCTCTAAACCATTTTACTCAAATTTAAAATGCCAAAAGTTCTGAGTATGTCAAATTTTGTCGCAGAAAGTTTTCAAGCACGAAAAAATATTCTTTTTGTCATTTAACAAAAAAATAATTTGACATTTGATTGCAGTGTTGCTGATCGAACATGAATTTAAGGCAAAAAATGAAAAATTCAACAACTCAAACATCACAATCCAGGACATATCACTGATAACAACTTTGAAAATTTATCGGAAGCACAAAAAGCAAGTCCCGAACACTCCTCGTTTTAGAAGACCTTTTTCAATAAGGAATAATTTAGCATCCCTGTCTGCTGAACTTCGTTTCAGAAGAAGTTCCTCCAAAAACGATGCTTCTTCTGCAGTGGGACAATCTGTTGCTCGTTTCTGTTTGAACAAGAATTCAGGATATAAAAAGGTGGATAGAATTTTCTATTTTTCATACGACACTTATTCAAGCCGTTTACTCAAAACAAGGCCCTGTATAAGCAGTCATTAATATCTAATGATATATCTTTTTATTGAGACATGCTGATAAATTGTAAAGGATGTTTAATTACTTGATGTCAAGAGCAACAATTATAGGTAAGAGGATTACTCAACCCCTCGTTGTTGTAGGTCGGTTTACTTTACCGGCCACGGTGAGTAACATACTCCTAATTGGACAAGACATGGTTTGTAATGTGGTTTAATGTCCGATTAGGCTGTCTTTTTGGTATTCCCCTATCTCAAGATAAATATGAAAATCCTATTCCATAAAATATATCCACTTACAACATCATCTAAAATGCTCAGAGGCAATCTTTTCTCTGAAAACTTGTAGAAATGATCTGAATCAGGGTGAAATTCAGTCCTCATTTCTGAATCAGTCGAAAACGAACTTTCTTCAGATTCGAGTGAATTTTCACTATCAACACTTGAACTTCCAGTGCTATCGGATTCTGCTCGATTCTTCACCAATGAATCATCTACTGTTACTGGTGGAAGTGGAAATTGATAAAACAAAAAAGTTAAAATATTATAAAAATGCACAATTTTTTAAAAATAGAAAAGAAATAAAAGAATCATGAATAAGTGGGTAGGTCAGCTCCACTCTGACAAAGGATAAGTTTTAAGAAGCTATTTGAATATATACCGTATTTCCCGGCGAATAAGTCGCTTTTCTAGACCCAAATTTTTGGCCTGATTTCGGGAAGGGGGTTGTCTTATTAGGCGAGTATGATAATTTTCATTTATTTGGAGTCGCCTTATTATGTATTAGGTAATGTTCTTTTATGGTAGACGCAATCGCGAGATTAACACAATTAGATTAAAATATAAAGACAGTTTTATATTCCCGTAGTTATTATGGATTGAATATTACCTACAAGAAAACGACATTACATTATAGGCTATTTTAACCAATGCACAAATGCGGCGACCGCTCAAAAGCATTGCATGGTAATTTGAGATTCCTATGTTGATGCGATTTACTACCCCGACTTATTGGCAGGTTATATGCAAAAACCCATTTTTTTCAGGCTTAGAAATGGACCTCGTCTTATTTACGGGGTACACTTTTTCGCTGGGAAACACGGTAAGTAGTTTAATCACGTCTCGACACTAACATATTTATCAAATTGGAATGCCAGCATAGCCAGTTCAACTACAAACCGAACCCTTTTCAAAACCATTGCTCTGGGTAACAACCTTGTCAGTAGAGCGCACATAAATGAAGCAATGAGCAGTATATCCTGCATGCATATTTAAGTAAAAATCCACCTATACTATATTGGTGTTACCGGTTAGATTTCTTGAGTTTCGTGAAGAAGAAGAACTATAAAGAAACCTGCCTGACCACCTCACCCAGTGTGTAAGGTATGTTATATTAAATCAGTAGTATTCTAGTTATGTTAAACCCAGTAGAGTATGGAGAACTCTGAAAGAAGCTTCTAACGTAAAATACTTACCAGATATTGATTGAACAGGAATAAGATCAGGAAGGTGAGGTCTTCGTTGTTTTTTGAAGACAAATTCAATCAGTTGAACATTAAGCATTTCTTGACACAATTTATTTGCTTCATTACGAGCTAAAAATGACATTAAAAATTTGGCAATATTGTAGTGTGACTATATAAAAGTATAATATGTCATTTTATTTCAAATGGACAAGACCATACATATAAGGTTACACGATTGACACTCAAAATTCAGTTTTTAAGAAAGGATATATGCGATCTAAAGCAACAATGATTGCATTCAACGTAGAGAGAATGGGGAAAAACTCCGCATGATGGGTCACAAGAATTTCGGGCAAGAATTCTGCACAAAATTATCTCTCACAAGATTAGAGCCCATGCAGGAGAAAATAAGATATGCCACGACAAGTTTTCATTAGAGCGATTTAACAAAAAAATTAATGCATTTGAAGCAATATTCTATAAGTGTAGACTTGAATATGTTGATATCACAGGCTCGAATTGTATAAAAAAATTTGAAAAAATAACCCATGGTTAGATCGTTTCTGCAATCAAGTCCATGTAACTAGATTTTACAATGTATTGGATGAAAACCGTTTTATGTTTGAGTTTTTTATCTAATATCCTATAATAACTTATTACCATACCTTCGTCCACAGTTGAGAAGCTTTCAATTACAGTCGTAAGTAATGTGTGATGCAACAATTCACCGCTGAAAGATTTTTTGTCCTGCATTACTCTCATGCACAACACAACTTGATGACGAATGTTCAGATAACTCAGATCATTCTATTAAAAAGAGGTAATAAGATTGGATTAGGTAACTATTATATTATTTAACTTTTTCACAATAAAGACAATAAATTTAAAGAATGTGGTCACTAGTAAACATCTCCTTGATAGAAATAGGGCAGAAACTTTTTTGATGAAATTTGGATACAGGGCAATTATTTATCAGCAACAACTTTGTGTAGCTTGAATGAAAATTTCTGGATAACAAATTTCTAGTTACATGTGGTTGAGTATGAAGTTCAATTATATAAGCTGGAAGTCATTTAAATTCAATTTGATTTCTAATACCTTAATTGAATACATGAACACGAAAGTCAAACGAACACTGCAAAAAAGCAAATGTTAACAGAATGTTGTCTTACTAAGGTAATTGTAAATTCTGGAGTAAAACATTGGGCCCCCAGAAGACAATAAAGCAGTAGCCTTTCTGGCAACTTTTCTATATTGAATTAAGCACATCGACTAAATAATTAAAGCTGTGGCATAATGGTTAAAGCGTTAAACTGGTTGAAATTGCATGCCAACCAGCTCACCCGGGTGGGTAAATTGGGTAGGCCATGCTGACCAAAGCCTTGTTCAGAGTGAAAGGCGCATAAAGACTCTGTTGAATAGATTAAAACCAACTTGTCTTCTTAAATTTACATGACTTAAAGTCTCCAAATGTCATCAACTCTGAAAACGCTAGAAGTAAAGACGATATTTCTCTGATCAACAGTAAATACTAAAAAATAACAAAAGATAATTAGTAAAACATACCATATGTTTATTCTGTTCATGTCTACATTCGTTGTAAACACCAACAAGTGAGAGTGTTGGCATGCAGTACAGATCAAGTATGGTTAAGCTTGGTTGAATATCTTTTGATAACCAGTCGAGATCTCCACCATTTGGTTTGGAATAATGATGATACCAAGTATCGATAACTGTCGTGTAAACTTTCCGAATGTGCTTCGCATAAATTTTCTTCATATTTTCTTCCACTGTCTTTAGTTCACAAATCCTGTCTTGTATGTCCTAGGTGCAGAAATATCAAGTTTTGAAGAAAAGATAAACAAGAGAGTATTTAAAACAAGCCAGTATGTGCCCAGGCTGTATTAGTGCATAGTGATAGTGGTATATTGCGACTAAAAGTTGAAACAAATTTTTCACTATCTGAAGATTCCCCGGATCGTGGATCATGGAAATGAAAGACAGCTTGTTCAAAAGTTTTTTGTCTTCTGCGGAGGGTACCGTTCTCAAAATTGTAAATTCCGACTAATTGACGAGACAAAGAGGACAAGTTATGAAAATTGGAAATTTCACAACAATCCGCGTATTTTTCAGTTCTGCAATGGAAACGAAACATTTACCCGAACTTTTGATCGAGTACACATTACTGTGGTGACAGAATAACCTATGTTACAAATATAATCCAGATTGGCCCCGAAGTTCAGAGGCTTCTGCAAGCCACACAGGCAGACAATCAGAGCAACCAAGTATAAGGGACTCTTAGAGCAAAAGTCCATCAGTCAGTCAGTGGAACAATGAAATGGTTATATAGCGAGTTTCAATAACAAAGACTAAGGACATGGATAGCATAGGATTTTTTCACATTTATCCCAGAAAGTTGATAAGATGGACTAATCATTTGGCGAACAATGGCTTCTCATCTGATTACCATGTTGGGCATTGGAATAGTCAACCAGATACTCATTGTGTGAACTTGGTGATAAAAGAAGCTGTAACCAATGGTTACATGAACTGGTTATCAGTCCAATTCATGTAGGAATGAGGTAAATAGACTTAAATATTAGAGAAAACCATAAGCAACACATGTCAATTTCTAAGCTTTCTAAAATTTTTACACAAATTTTCAATTTTTACCTGTATAATATGACACCAAATGCTTTCATGAAGATTCTTAACACCTTCTTTATGAGTCCATGTTGCCAGTAGATCCAACACTAATATTAGTCTCTCTGTCAAGTTGTTGAGGCATGATGATGAATGGTTGTTAGTTAAACTCTTTGTATTAGGAGTTCCAAGAGCTTCATCAAGAAAGTATCCAATCCATTGACTTATATGAAGTGCAAACAACCTACTAACACCTCGTACAGTGTGCTTCAAATGTGATTCTGTACGTTCCTGGTTGAAACACACAATAAAAATTAATATAATGTCCCTCCGAAAAAGTCAAATTTAGCTGAATATGAGCCCACACGTATTTCTTTTAGTATACTTACCAGACCAAATAAATATTTTCATATAATATAACAAACCCCATCCATATATTCCATATAATATAACAAATTGCTAGCATAGAGTAACCAACATTTTAAGCAGATGGGTAATTTTATTCATGCAAGAAATGCAGATGCACTGTTCGATTAAAAGTTCAACTAGTTCACATGGAGCTGTTCACATGACTAATTATGATGCAACAATGAGAAAGTCAACAATGCAGATATCATTAATCAGCCATCCACAATTACGAAATCCTTGATTTTATGGGAGACACATATGACACGCCCTCATTTGATCAAAAATTAACCAGTGAGTCATATGATATTTTTGCTTTGTTCAAATATTTCAAGATATTGAAGAAGTTGACATAACCTTATTTGTGTTTGTCTTGCTAAGTTTAGATAAAATAAGGCCTTGTGTTTGTTCGGGTAATTTCCCGATGAAAATTATCTGTATGCAGAAGTTTTATTGTGTTATTTTCATTAAAAAACATTTCAAGCTACAAATATGATGGAAAAACACAAGCAATTATTATAATACGTAAGCTGATTTATTCAAATGTCCCTTCAATTTTTTACAAAATTTCCTTCCAAATAAACAAGATATTTTTATGAAACTATCGAAAAATAACTTCGCGCAATCAAACAATAGTGAATGAGAATTCACAACAATGAATTGAGTAGGCAAGGCTGGGCCAGATGGTCCACCTAATATACAGTAGCTCCTTACTCAGGGGCTGCCATAAGAGTGAAGATCATGAAACATACGAACCTTTAAAATATCTACAAAACAGGGTGGTGTGAAATCCTGTTCTGGTGCATCAATGATTGTCCATGCTCCTGATAATAAGTCTACATTTTCTTTTTTCTTGTCACTGTTGTCTTGATCATTCAAATCAAGATCACTATTATTATCGTTATTATTCTGTATATCTTCATCATGTCGTACAATAGTACACGCACCACTTGAAGTTATCAGTGTAGCATCAGAGCTGGAGACTTCCTGTGATTTAAGAAAGATGATGGAATGGTTATTTGTAAAATAGATGACATGATCATCATCCATCGTCCACAGAGGCGATAAATGTTTTACAACCGGGTTGGTAGATTACAGCCTTGCAAATCGAGATAAATACAGCATATCATAAATTTCACACATGCTGTGTAAAATTAGCATACCTGAGCATTATCATCTGTTTCTGATGTGATTGAATGAAAATCACCAGGTACAATAACAGGAATTGAAGAATGAGATTCTTCGGTTAGTGGAAAGCTGGGTGGTGCAACATTATCATGGAGTTCCGGAGAAAATAAAATTTTGAGAGAATTCCAAAATTCTGTCATTCCATGTTCAAGCACAAGAAGGTCATTCAACCGTATAATATTCTGCAGAGATAGGATAATAGAAGTGTTCCAATTGAAAAAATATTAATCAAAAAACAAAGATGACATTGTTTAGTTTTGAACATAGAACCATATATACACATAAAAAATGTTGGACTTTCATATCTGTAATTTATTACCATGCCACAATACAATGTCGAGGACTATTCCAAATTTTTCCACATTTGCTGCTACAAAGGCTATATATAAGCAGATACTTGAAATCAATGGTATACTGAAGTTGGTAATATCATTATCTTTCCACATGAGCATAGCGTTTTCAATACCTTAGATATTACTCTCATATTTACAGAGATTTATGTTGTCATTATTTTCAAGATTTGTTCTTTTCATAGCCACAACCTGAGGTTGTCTTACAAGTATTTTCATCCATGAGATAAATACAACATAAATTACAATATCAAAATATGCAAAGTGCACATATGAAGATGGCTGTTAAATTGAATAGAGTTACATTTCTATGTATGAAGCCCGAATTAAAACCCCGTAAATATATACAACATAAGATAGGGCCTTTTTGCCAAAAAGTACTCCAATCAAAATTAAATGACAATTAGTATCATATCTCGAGCATACACCAGGACATGGATGAATGTGTTCTTATATATATATATATATATATGTATCACCTTCTTAACATCTTCCACCCAAACTGTTTCATCCTGAATATTCAAATAACTTTCAACCACAGAATGTTGTTGAGAAATAGTTTTGTTAAATTTTCTGAAAAAGAGATAAAAATATAAACAAAAATTGCAGGATAATAAACAAAATTATTAAATTTTACTAAATTGAGTAAATTGATTGAGAAAATATACAGAATGCCATATAAAATAGTATTCATATTTCATACTGCAATACATACCCATCAATAATATGGCGATAAAATTTTTCCCCGATGACTTTTTCTGCTGTTTGTCGTGATATGGATTCTAAGTCAATGTTAAGGAGGTTGTTTGCATATTGCTGAATCACTACGCCCAATGCCTAAAATGATGATACAGTAAAAAGAACAGTTTATTTTAATTGGAAGTTTTATTTTAATTAAAAATGTAAAAAACAAATGACCAATTTATTTCACTTAAATGTTCTAATGGCAATACAATGATTTGTAAAAATTTCATCATTGAGCATGACTTTTTTAAGAATGTTGAAAATTGCAGACATTGCAAAAAGTTTTTCATGATATTATTATAATAGACTGGGATGGGTATGATATGGTTTTTGTTAAAATATCTCAGAAATAAGGATTTCAAAATAACCTAGATTAGTCACAGGATGAACCAAACCACATGCCCTAGTCAACAACATTTTGTTTTGGTCAATTCTGCTTAGGAATTCACCCAAGTCTAAGAAGAGAAATTTTCCATAACCATCACTTTTACCTAGAAAAAAGCAAAATAACGCAATATTTTACTTGGAACGCTTTCTGTACAAATCTTTCCTTCAATTCTCTGGCATCTCTACAGTTAGCATGATCTTCTATGGATGATGGCAATGCACTACGATTTTGGCAATCAGCAACTGGTGGTAAACTATACACAGTATCCATAATTGTCTTCACAAAGTTGGTAAACCTAAAAATGACACAGCGATTCAAAATAATATTCAGAAGAAGTATTGAATCAAACCTTAAAGTACTTGGCAATGATAGTATACAAAAAGTTTGGATTGGACCATGGCCAGAAACATGTATTATGGCGTTGAGTTTTATGATACAATGTTTTATTATTATTAGATTGGAGGCTTTCAAGATGTTTTTAAATTGAAATTACCAGCAAATATACTTTTTGTAATTGCAATTTTTTAGTTCACAAAGATTTTAAAAAATTATTCATAACCACATAGTACATTTTACAGATATACAATATTATATCACAATAGATGTCCTCACTTTGATATGTAACAAATAATATAAGTCATAAATTTTTGATGACTCCCTCAACGAAATATTGTGTATAATTTTATAACACAGTAGCTCTCTCTCACTCTAAATCAGGGGTCACCAAACTACGGCCCGCGGGCCGGATCCGGCCCGCGACGTCATTTTATCCGGCCCGCGGCGTCATTTTATCCGGTCCGCAATAACACACAAAAATGGCAAATTTTTTTTCCAAGGGAGATTTTCACGAGCATCGTCGTCTTTGTTTATTTCGTAACATTGGCCAATCGGCAAGATGCAAAATGTGACGTAATAATAGGCCTTTCCGCGTCCGCTCAGACACTTTGTCACCCTGACAGATTTTCAGTCGTGGTTGTAAACAAAACTTCGTTTTTGCGACTTTGAATGCTACCAGTACGTAACGTTTTCTGCGAAACACTTGTACACTCGTGGCGCGTGCTTTCGACGAAACTGTTTGTTTTTTGTGCTAAAATAAACGTCGAATGTGCATTTTGTGCAGTACTGTAATCCCTCGCGTACTGCTCCAATTTCAAAAGCCACACTAACTTTTGTACTGCTTTAATGCGGATATTTATGTAGGTATGTTACAAAAAAATTGAAGTCCATGGGTGCATGATAGTTTGACAGTGGTTCATTGTGGGTAATAATTAACGATGTGCTGATTGTACGAACTTCATAAAAATTGTATCAAGTTAGGAAAGAAATACACACGTCCACATACATTTTATTGGTGTCCATAGACAATATCATTAATTTGCGCTACGTATAACTGAAGCGTAATTTTTAAAAGCGTCGAATGTTGGGAAATTTATGGGCTAATGAAAAAAATCAAATAGCCTACCAGATAATAGTTGTTTATTTTATCTAAATTATGTCAAAATTTCATAGAATTCCAAGCTACAGCAGATAGTCGTTTTTATGAAAGGTATTTCAACTCGGCGTAACGGTACTTAGCAGACCGTAGTAGTATATATTTACGAGCAGACGTGATGCGTACATTTTTTGGCAGGATTTTGTAACATTTCTAATTCATGACAGCAACGTTTTGATAACAGCTAAACTCAGGATAATTGTCTAGATATAGAAATCTTGTTAATTTTTTTCCTAGGATGTTCTCGTTCTATATTCTGCGATATTCCCAACATTTGTGAATTTATTGTATTGCATTGACAAAAATATTCATCCGGCCCGTTTCAACACAATTTGAGTCATACCCGGCCCGCGGTCAAAAAAGTTTGGTGACCCCTGCTCTAAATCAGTGGATGTTTGCAAAGAGGTGTTTGGAGTAAAAATATGAAGTATCTCAAAACGGATACAATACTGATAATGACCAACCTCGATATAACAGAAATGAAGTCGATTAGCGAAGATGACACATTACATAGCGTATCATTCATCTCTGAGTTTGGTTCCTCATCGTCGAAATTTTCTGAAGCGTTTGAAACAACATCATCTGAAATTGCTTCCTTTTGTGGCAGAAATTTTGTCGGCGTAAGTATAGGAAGTGTTGGGGATTCTTCGTCACTGACAGCAGTAGAACTACCAGTTTCATTTATGCTGAAATCTGTATGAGATGCTGATGTTGACATTACCTTTGCAGTGGAGTCAGTTACCGATCTATACATGGTTGGTGATTCCCCACTAATACAGCTGCGAAAAGAAGTTGTGCGACTTGAATCTTCTTGACTTGTACTATCCAAAATTGGTTTATAGGATAGAAGAACAGGTTCTGAAGACGATCTGTCTTTTTTACGGCCAATTGGATGGGTGAGAGATTGAGGCGGGAATTGGGCATCTTCTTTTTCACGGTTGACATCATTTTCAGTACAATTTGTTTCCGTAACAGATGACGAATTAGAATTTTCAGGAATATTTTCATCATTACTATCTTCTGAAACTGGATCATGCTCTACGACAACCTCAAGATTACTGGGACCAGCAGAAACGAGAATTTCATTTCGCATATCAGCGTCTTTGCGAAGAAGGGATCCCATTCTCATTCTCTTTGATGGCAAAACACCACTGGCGTTCAGTTTATCATCTTGGGTGCCAGAAAACATATTTTCATCGAAAGTTGAAGTAAAATCGTCGTTGAACAATGGTGAATCAAATTTATCCTTTGAAACTGCTTGAGAGACTTGTTTCCGCATGTGAACCGATAAAATGTCAAGCCAATGCATTGCAAGCTGATGATATGCTTTTCGCCATGAAAACTTCCGTTCATGATGAAATTGTTTTATAGCATTGATTTCACGAATTTTTACAAGATTGTCAAATTCGTTTAATCTGCAATAGTAAATATATTAATTTGAAATATGAAAATTCAATTAGGATTTGACTTTCCTGTGATGAATACTTTACTGAAAAAATAAATTTGTCCATTATTTACTCCGAAAAAATCACATTTTGCAAAATATAAAAAATTGCTTCATCTGAATATTATTATATTAAAGAAAAGGTAAAACAATAAACTGGTCTAAACATATAACATCTCTAGTTTGACCCTCCGTTTGGGTTGCGGAATAGCAAATCAATCGATTTTCATTGTTGTCATATGCATGTATGCAAGACATATTCAACCAGGGGTTACATCAGGGGTCAGCAACCTGCGGCCTGCGAGCCGGATCTGGCCCGCGAAGCAATATAATCCGGCCCGCGACGCTTTGCTCAATTATAGTAACAAAGCAGCTGTTTTGACGATTATAGTCTTTACGTAAGAGAATTAATTGTGAGGCACGTGTATAGACTCATTTATATTATAACCTAACGCGTATATAATTCACAATTACTCGTTTAATCAGCCTATAATTCTATTATAATTAAACAAAAGGCAACAAAACGCAGAAAAGTTGATGCTAAGTGCAAATGGTTTAATGGCGCAGAAAATGTTCAAATGATCAATCTTTGCGTGCTGCTTAAAATTTAACTTCTGTCTGTGTGAAAAAATGTGATTCATTGACCATCCGTTCAGTTTTTAACTTTCTATAAATATGTGCGGCCCGCCAATGACTTGCAACCTTTAATTTTGGTGGGTGAGTGACGAAAGGTTGCCGACCTCTGGGTTACATGAACCATCTTAGAATGAAAAAAAATTTCATGTTCTCTTCTTTATGTAATGTTTATAACCAAAAATATACTTACTTATATGCAAGTGCAATATCATTCAAGTCCAAGGAATCATTATATGGATTATTCTGACGCCACACAAGTGTAGATTTCATCAGTGAGAGAGCATTATCAAGGAGTTTAACATCAGCCATGACGGCATCATACAATCCATTGCTAACAGCATGAGGAAAATTCGGTATATAATTACTGAATACAGCCTGCAAAAAATGGTCATTTTGAAAACATAATTAGACGCAGTTGCGACGCAGGTCAGGGGCTTGAGTGTTTACATGAAAATGCTTGAAACATGGATGTGCTCCCTATTAAAAAAATGAGTTGATCGTTATACTGTACCTGGCATTATACAAGCAATAACTCGTTAAAAATACGGCCTGTAAAGTGATCTTTATCTTTCATAATAATTTCACACACTGGTTTTCATATTATCCTAAGAGTATCCTTTTGCATTTTTCACAGTCAATTATAAACTGACATGATATCATAAAATATAATTCATGGAATCTTCAGGATTTCATACTATTCCTGAGAGATGGCAGATTATATAGCATGAGTAGGCTAATTATATAGCATATAACTGCCTTCCACCAGATACCACAAACAACAGATACCACATCAAGATAGGTATAGAATTAGTTTATCAATTTAGCCTATTACAGTTTTAGGTGTTTGGTCAATGTTGTACAAACAAATATCAATAACCGGTTTAAGTATTTTCAATACAGTATTAATCAATAATAACTACTTACCTCATAGTCAGTTTGTTTGACACTTTTTCTACCTTTCTGCATTATTTTTAACACATCTACGGCATGAGTTACTGAAGCTAATACAGTTTCAATTTCTGTAAATTTTGGTTTTCTGCAGGAACAATATTTTTGAATTGTTGCTGACCTTGGCAAAAGAATAAAAAAATAAAACAAAATTTTATAAAGTAAATTCTTTATATTTTCAGTTCCTAAAACGTTTCATACTTTCTTCTATTTTTTTTATTTTGATGACTAAAGCATTTTTCGTATTTGAGTAGATCACGCTAAATTCTGTACTGATTTCCAATAAAAAATTAAGGATATAGACCACTAGCCTGACACAATTGCACAATTGTTATTCATCATGCTCGTTATTGCGAGTGTGCCTCTAGTGCCTTGATGATTAAAGACATGTTTGCTTGCGACATTAAGGTTTGTGCAATGCATGCATTGCTTTGAAGACAAAACTGTGCAATTGTTATTCTTCGTGCGCTTGTTATTATGAGGCTTTGAAGACAAAACTGTGCAATTGTTATTCTTCGTGCGCTTGTTATTATGAGCGTGCCTTTGATGCCTTGCTGATTAAAGACACGTTCACAAACTTTAAACAATAAGTATACAGTAATTCCATAATAAAATCGCAAAAACCAAACATAAACCCCTTGTTGGTAGTAGCGGCGCCATAGCATTGTGTTATTGATCGCCACAGCATTGTGTTATTGATCTTTAAAATTTTTCAAAAACCAATTTGTTATCAGTATTGTGATTTGCGGGTCTTCACTTCAGCAATCATCAGAGCCAAAAATAATTTGGTGAACCAATTTACCTTGTTTAAGGTAAATTGATTTTCATTCAAACAACTATACATTGTTGAAATATTTTATAATTAAGAATATACTCACTCAAACCAACTTGACAAACAGGTTGGCCACTCACTGTCTTCAACACCATGCAAGAAACTCTGGAGTTGAAATGATGCTCGAGCCAACTGAAGACCATTTTGCAATTCTTTTGTTGTTGGTAACCAATCAGTGAGAAGATTTGTCACAAGATTTTTGACTCGTTGAATGAAATTTGCTATGTTAGAATACACGAATATCAAATTAAATATCTTTGTACAGTCCGGTTTTTAGTTATATATTACGTATCTCGGGAGGGTGAAATTCTGAATGTCTAAGATCGAGAGTCAGAACTTTGCCAGCAATGGCCAAATTTGAAGAATTAAGTGAAGAAAACATAATTTCTAACATATTTTGAATTGGTTCAATAATATATATCTTAAATTCTCAACAAAGTACACATAGAAGTATATCCAATGTGTTTGTTTCATAAATGCTGGTAAACTTAAGACGAACAGTGAATTAATTTTCTGTTTTATACAGTTTTCATAAGTTACATATTGTGAGACTTCAACTGGTCAAAATTAAATGATTCATATGAAACTATTCTAAATTATTTCTAAAATCAAAATTTTGAGAAATCGAATATAATTTATTTTGAATTGAAATTCGATCATCCCGATATGTCTTTTGAAACCCCTATTTGAGACTTGATTCATTAAAATTGTGGAGACAAAATCAAATTTTTAAAACTAAGGAGGTAAAGTTTTTATAGTCAAAATATTAATATTCCAGAGTCAAGAGGTGGAGTCAAAGTTCAGGGAAAAAAATGGCTCGATCTTTTGAACCGCTCAGAATATTGAATAGAATCAACCTGTTCGATTTTGCAACCTGTTCGATGGAACAGAGCTTCAAATAAAACACATAAAAGTCATTGCCAAACCTGTGACGTAGAGTAAAATTTCCATTTCAGAAATGCAGAGAGGATTTTCTTCTTCTAGTAATGAATAGAGCATATCAAGCTGAAAGAAACATATAAAATATAGGTTACCCTCACAAAAGAAAGCATATTCAAATAGAAACAGCATTGTTCAGCATTATTATAGCCACTTTAAGTGATGTTTGCTCCAACCAACTAGACAAGCAAATATTGGCAATAAAGTTAACATTCGAGTGCGTAGAGAACATTGTGAAATTTAGGAATACCATTTTGAGCTATAGAATCATGCGATGATGCCAATGTCATATGCATGAAAAAATAACTGGACTACAATCTCATCGATCATATTTTTTGCAAAAAATATTAATATTTTGTAAATTTGAAAAATTGACTAGAAATATTACAAATATAAAGTTTAAATGATTGTAATAAAAATAATATTTGATAAAAAAAAATTCTTGTAAAACTTGCTAAACCAAGTTTTTATCACATGTTTTAAGTACAATATAGCAAATATCATAATTATGAACAACTTTAATATATGTTATCTTACATACGAGAGAAATTTAGAATGCCCCTGCATGAAGATACGGACATCCCTAATGAGACTCTAACCTAAAAAATAACACGAAAACATTTTGATATAAAGACTCATTTGAATGCACAAAGCCCGCGTTAGAGTATTACAATTTTTATGTTGATTGGCACCTGATTATTTTGTGCGATCAGAAATCAACAGAAAAAAGATGAAATTATGTGCATTTATTTTGATATTATAAACTCATTCGAACAAAATATAGATTTTTAGGCATTGAAATTTCCATTTTTATAGAATCTAAATTATTTTCCACTAGCTGGACTAAAATCAATAACTTTTGGGAAGTTAAAACTCAGATATACGCCAAGTAAAAATTATTATCTGTAACCAACCTTATTTGTCAAAGCTGTGAATGTCAAGTTGTCTAGTTGAAGTATTTCATTTTCAATACAGTCATCAGCTAATTGGAGATAAAAGCACAATTGGGTGACAATTCCAACTCTGTGTCTTTCAGCAAATTCTCCTAAAAGTCTTTTTCCACATTTGCTAATAATGTCTGCTTGTTTCAAGCCACCTTGACCGTAACTGGAATCTGATCCTGATGAAATTAAAGTCACATTATATTTACACATAGTAACGACCCATAAAGAACAATATAATATTGACTATTTTTAAATTCACCAAAACGCATTTTCAAATTATGCTCTTCATTATTAGCTATGAATTAGTCTTGACAATACCAAATAGCAAAAAAACTTGCTTACAGTACTTTTTGTTTTTATACACATTTTTCACTGTAAACAAGGCTTGGTACAAACATTCACTGACATGTGAAGGGCTACTATATTTTAGAGAAACAGAAATATTTGCAAATCGAGATTGGCTACCCAATTTATTATACCCTGGGTGTTGTGGTGGGCACGAGATTTCAATTGGAGATATTTTAACCTACAATACCAACATAGTTACAATCAATGCCATAACCACCAGGCCATTGTGTCGTATGAACTACCCTAGAAACACTAGATGAGAATTCATCTTTGAGGTGCTATTCTTATTACTTATTTATATTCACCTTTTTGGTCATAATATTATAAAGTGGTAAAGTTACCTGAATAATTACCATTAGTCAAAGATTCATTACTACTGACATGTCGCTTGGTTTCCTCCACATCAAAAACGATAACCTAGACAAGATATAGACAATCAAAATAAATATACATAATATTAAGAGCTATTGGAAAATCAAAGCTTTGAGAATATTATGATAAAGGTGTAAAAATGAATTAAATATGTAGTTTTATTTACAATCAGTACAGAAAAGCTTTGATTTGGGGATTAATTTGATTATCATGATCATCATTCTAAAAAACAAACTTGACATTGGTCAAGTAGATAAAAACATAGGTTTGACTCGATCACTAGTAAAATTGGGAAATCAGGCTATATTTTCGAAATTGAATGAATATGCACAATTGTACAATGAATTTGTACAGTTTTCTCTTTTGAAATTAACTCAATCTAGATTAAATTATCCAACTAGTTTTGCAAAGCAATCTTAATAGCAAAATATATGATTTTAGCCAATCTCCTTCAATTTACAGTACGGTACATTAAGAGAATGGATGTTACCGCCATCATTAACTTAAATTTTTCTATAACAATGACTAATCACTATAATCAGGAATAAGGTAATGTAAACAGTTTAAATTGAACCAGTCGCCATTTGCTTATTTCACTTGGACAGATTTTCAAGCATGTTTATACCAAATTCTTCAATCTAGTTTTAAACACACAGGGAAATACGCGCTTCAATTCACCCACCTAATGCAGTCAAAATGTAGATGAGGCGATTCTACGTGTGTGGTTGATGGGTGATTCAAAGTTTTCAGACTGGGTTTCGTTTTTTGGGTCACCCTATACATTTACCTCATTAGGAGAGAGTGCATATGGTGAACCAGCACCCTAGGTAATTTACCAGTTTATCATTCTGATTGTATGTATTTGAATTGTAAACAACTAATGGAATGCAGTCAATCAATCTTCTTATGCATAAATATCACCCAAACTCAAACCTACAAATGATATTCATTTTTGTTTTTGAATTAAATATGTTGTAACCAATCAGTGGTTCATAAACCACTCTGTGATGGCATGAAACCAAGTGATCACCTCATCCATAATTATCACTCCTGCCTGAACCTATGAATGATATCCATTTTAATCATAAATATAATAAGCATACTTTCTTTAAAATATCTCTGTATTCATGACATCTATTACGTGGATTGGCGGTATGTCTCTGTCGACTTGATTTCGGAATTCGACCACCAAGAAGTACATTAATTTGCTGTCTTTCTTTGTCCTGCCATATTTTGTGATCGATGTCACTCTAAAAAAAAGTAAAAACAATAATTAAAAAAATGTATAATGGCAAATCAGCCCAAAAGTTATAATATCCATAATAACGTTACATGACTGCATTATTTTTTTGGTCTTTACCTAAATATATTATCATCCCTATCCGAAATATATATGAATGGTCAACGGCTCAACAGTCTACCTATGGGTAACCTTGGTATCACAGGCTCTCGTTTTAGTTTTTAATATTGGCAGAGAATGGAACTCCAATCAGAAAAGTTTAAGAATGGATTATGGTTTATGAAAGTCAATATCCTTTAATATATAATACCATGTACAAATTTCAGTTTTGAATGAGCCAATTTAATAAAATATTATTCCATATTTGAACCATATGGCAGAATGTATCAAAACTAGTAAAATGTTAGGTAGCCTATCAGTTACAGGTAGAATTGATTTGGAAACATTAGGAAATTGTGGTACAGACAAATAGTTAGACAGCAGACATTACATCTGAAGAACATCAATAAATTTCTGGAACAATTCATACCAAATGAGAAAGTTGTAAAAAATGTATGAAGTAAATTAAATCATTTAGTAAATTCAATCACGTCATTGTTTCATTTCACAGAACACATTGTTTCACAGAATTTATGAAAATAATCAAAAACATATCATTTAAGAGTTGTTAAATTATTGACAAATATATAAGTTCCTCAAAGCTAATGGGAACTTTAGTTGTAAACTCAATCTATCAGTTCAAACATATGGGCCACCAGGTCATCGAACATTTATTAAATAAACATTAAGCACGAATGCACAGTTGGACTTTGTTAAGTCATGTTATGCAATCAGATAAAACAAAGACAGTCTGCAAATAATGCAGAAGAGAGAACAAGCTGAATCAACTACTAGCATTCAAAATTTTATTGCTGGTACTATTTCAAAAGTATTTTATCATCAACAATCGCAAATCATACCCAAAATTTATAGCTTTTGTACCCCAGTACAATCCCGTTATACCGTTCCGGTAAATCACCGCAACTAATACCTAAAAGTTCTAAAGCGCAAATATGTTTATTCAATTACATCAAGTTGATCAAAGTAGTCAAACATTAATACCTAATGACCTTCTAACATGTATTTGACTTGCTTTCTTCACAGAATCTTTAATGAATAAATAAACTTCACTTTTCAGGATGAAGTGGGGGTGATCACGTAATTCGGTGGATAAGTAAGTATTTCCTTATGTCACAATGATGAGGCATTGTTGTGAACCTTTCGACAGACAGGGAGTGGTACTTCCGTGGTGTGTGTACCAGGTTAGGTTTAGGCCATAATTTTATTCCGATTTTCCTTATTTTAGTTCTATTATGAGTTCGGGGACTGTTTGTTTAGCAAAGTGAATATACCCCCTGCCCATAAGTTTCAGTCCCTTAATACAATTTGATTTAAAGTAGGGGAACAAAATTAGTTATCGTACCTCCATATTGGTACACACACTTCTGGAGCGCCAACAGAGTTAGGTTAAAATAATTGATTAATTGGTTAAAATCTTGTTCTCACTTGGATCTATATGTGCGCGTCTATAGTTTATTGATGTCTTTTGATAAAATAATTCGTTTACTTTAAAACTCAGCATATTAATGTAGCAAGGGTTTATTTCTAGCAAAAGCCTTTTCTATGCGGAAGTTGCACCCATAAGTGAAATACTGATTCCCCTGAAATTTGTAATGCAACTTTTCAAAAGGAGGCAAATATATATTTTTCACTTACTGAAAATATCTTCGTTGGAAACAAAGTGAACCTATGTCAGGGTGATTGTTGTTGTTGTTGATATACAAATCACTTATTTCTTCAACTAATGGACCAATTTATATCAGATTTCAAGTACTCAAAGATGAAAACCAACGCTAAAAGATTATTGCATTATTTTAGGTTTTTCAATTTTCCTCCACCACATGTAGGACCTGATACTTTTTATGTTATTCATGAAAACACTTTTTATGCTGAATGTTATTAACAAGCTTAAATTCACTCATTTTTCATCACACGTGGCAACCAGCTAAAGCCTTAACGCATCAGTACCAATGCGCCACTAACATGTCAACATATTCAAGAATCGTTTCCTTGAATAGCATAACATTAGATTTATGAAAGATAGGCGGAAGTGTTATCAAATACCATAGTAGCAGTCACTCGTGATTTGGATCCTAAAAACCTAACCCAATACAAATGAAGCGACTTACAATGACAAATAAATATCTATATACATTATTATTCTAGGTTCGGCATGTGACCGCTCTCAATTAACAATATAAATTTACAATCTTTACGACAAAATAAAACACCACAATAATACAAAAAAAATTGAATGACAAAGCAAAATGGTTTAGTATTTATTTTGTTTACAGAAATTTGATCATCTGACCACATTTAATGATTTATATCACATGGCTGAAAGAAAATTTTTTTGTCAAAATTCCGTAGTAAAAAGACAATTGTCATCTAACCAGATTACATACATTAACTATATTCCTAAAAAAATTTGTTTTTTTCTAATTTCATAGCAGTTGAATTCTATAACAAAACATAATTTATGGTATTTTTTCAATTTCAAATTGTTCTTATGTAATCCTTGGGCTAGTTGATTCAAAGGGGATGGGACGCATACAAAACATTATTTTAATGTCGCTCATCGCATACTTTGAAATCAGCTTTCTTTGTTTATTTGATAATTATTGACAAATCCTTCTTGAGATCTGAAATAGGTCACACCTTATATTGAAATCAGCTATACGATGCAGTCAACCATCTTATCTTGATCGTACATGAAAAAAATGAAAATGAACCTGGAAATTCGCTGGTGAATAGTAAGGATGTGAATCGGTTTCTAACAATCTCAATTGTTCATGAAGATTTTGATCAAGAATTTCTCTTTTGCTCTTCTTCTGAGATGAATCAATTACTTGATATTGTCGGTGTTTCTTTTCGCTGATGTTAAATATCAGTCGTAGATATTCAAGGAGTCTGTCAGCCATACTCCTGCATTTCAAATAAAATAAAAGTCATCCGAATAAGCTTCCAAATTTACTACAAGCTCTACAATTACAGGCTAGATAAATTAGGTGGGCAGTTCAGAACATGAAAAATTCTTGTTCCTTAAAATATTGCAGCTTTCGACACATCGAAAGCTTTGAAGATTGGAAAACACTTCATTAAAAAAAAAATTTTCATGCTTAGAGAGCAATATTGGAATATCGGTAGGTATTTTGCATTAAACATATTGATGTGTGCAGAGGACTCAATATAAAATGACAATGCTTTGATAATATTAATATCCCTTTCCCATTTTTATAAATATCAATAAATAATTTTTTCAAATCTTCACCTGTTATAATCTTTTGCTGGCAGAACATTCAAATGTGAAAATTCGTTTTCTGGGTCTGAATTACGAAAAACAAAAATTTGTCATTAAGGTGATATCATTCCATAAATATATTACTAGTTAAGTAGATACAATATACTGATGTTTACAAAAGTACAAATTGAAGAATTTTTCCCCAAAATGGAAATTACACAATAGTCCAAGCAAGTTCATATGACTGACTGCTGGTGCCGGGCTTTTAGCATCATCAGAAATTTGAAATACCACCTAAAATAAAAGTTTATCAGAATCATGACATAATAATTGTATTAAGATTTGAACCATTTTACTTACTTTTACTCTGATTTGAATAAAGAATAGAATACGAACAACACAATGATGCTGCTCTGTATAGATGAAGTTCTGATGATTTTGAAACGGTTTCATACTTGCTGGTATCGCTTCCTCTACTTTGCAAACTTTCGGTTGAATCATGTGGACCAGTAACTAAAATTTATACATAGAATTGTTGGGTTTTACAGAGCTTTGTCCAAATGAAGAATTGCCTGACGTTGGGATTGTAAAAAGCCAAACAGAATTGGATTGACAATTATGTTGCAATGCCAAATTCATACACCATGATCAAATATTTTCTAAATTCTAATGGTGACCTGCATCATTATCTAATGCAGGGGTTCCCAAGCTTTTTTCCAGGATGACCCCAAAGACAACTTTCAAGTGTCCGATGCGACCCCAGGTCAATATATATATAATGAAACTTTAGAGCTTCTTTCATTGGACTTTTGAGTTTGGTCATGTGGTGGTCTTAAGTGAAATAAGCTAAAACCAAACAGTGATGTCACAATAAATACCTACATTTTCTACAGCATAAGCATAGAGCGATGCCAATTTTACAGTAAGCCATGGTACAAACTCTTAAATTTAACATGGTTTGTCAAATCTCAGATGTTTTGTACATCCATCCTCCCCACCGACCCCATGACCTGTTTGCGACCCTACCTACTTATCACTCCGACCCAATTTGGAGTCGCGACCCCTAGTTTGGGAACCCCTGATCTAATGCAATCCACAATGAGGAACTTAATTAAGTGCGGTAGTTCATAAGTATTACAGAGAGATAAGGCGATGGGATGGCTCAATCTCATGAAAAACCCATAAAAGTCAAATGAACCTTAATTCCATTTTGCCGATTTAGCACACATATGTATGAATATTGTTTTTATCATATAGTATGGTGCTCTTATAACGATAATTTTAGCTGACATATACGGTGTCTATACAGTCTTGAAATATTTGAAAATTGCAAAGGAAATTTATTGATACATATATATTGTTTTTGCCCACACAGATGTATAAAATGAGGTAACAATGCTGATTTAAAAACAACAAATCTGGTTGAGACAACAAAACTGACTTCATAACAAAATTGAAATTGTAAAGGGACTTTATAGACACCCTGTATATATATATTAGGCTATAAGGATTTATTCTCTGAAAAACATCATTCACAAACCAGCAAACATCCTCGGCGATCTTCCGAGAGCTAAAGATTCTAGGATCGATGGGCGTCTAGGTGTGAAAGAATTTCCTTCACTACAATGTCTCCTGCGAGGTGCAGCCATTGGTCTTGATGATTGCCTCAATAACGTAGATGGCCGCACTGCCGAAGAATCAATTTTGTCATCTTCATCTGATGAAGTTATGTCAAAAACAATATGCTCTGTGTTTGTTATTGACATTGCAGGTGTCGAGTTTTGTCTGACGGTGGAATCCAATCCGGAAATACTGTCTTTAGATAATCGTGAACAATATTCGGGTCTGAAAAAATAGAGCAAAAATATTATGAAAACATCTATGAAAATTTTACTTTTATCTTACATTAAAAAATCAACTAAATTTTAGGTACTCCCGAAGTATGTGAACCAAGATGGCAGACACCGGAACGTAGTATGTGTACCAGGTTAGGGTTATTAAGCCGTAATTTCTGGTACAAATACTAAGGGAGTCACTTGGCTAGTCCCCGAACTCGTAATAGAACTAAAATAAAGAAAATGGGAATCAAATTATGGCCTAACCCCAACCTGGTACACATACTACGTTCCGGTGTCCGCCATCTTGGTTCACATACTTCAGGAGTACCAATTTTTATGCATATATCTGTACATATGCACAATGACTAGGCGAGTTGAAATATCAATTTAAAGCTACCAAACAATAGTGTACTATTGATTTTTTTTAACTTATTTAGAACAAAATTGTGATGACTGATATATAAAAATCAGGAAATATATACAGTTGAATTAATTGAATATACTCACTCAAGTTTTCTGAAATGATCATGAATATCTGAAACCGAATTTCCATGCCTGTAAATAGAATAATAGGCATTAGTTTTGTTGTAATAAAAGTTGAACAATCAGAATATATGATACAGTCCCATACGGCATCGATTCTTTCAAATGGAATGTGACCAAATAAATCCTATTATCAATAAACCAGTATTAATAATGAAGGAATATAATGTTGGACATTAGAGCTGAATTCCTGTGTGACAAATTCTGAATGTAGCCTACCTAAATAATCAGACTATTAAAAGTTTACATATTTATCCTGTTTGAATATATTTTGAGTAAACTTGTCTAAATTAATGAAGGTATCACATCAAATTAACTTTGAAATTTGACTTAACAATTACATATTAGCTCATTTTACATTAATTTGTTCCTACCAGTCTTCTTACACTTTTCATAAGGCTAACAAACATGTTCTGAATATAAAGGTTGCATGGCGAACACAACTCACCCCAAAGTGTTATACATTCAGCAGACTATGTGGAAGCAACCAATTCAATACTTGCACGAGTGGCTTCTCATCTGGAGCCTTGTTTAGAGCAGAGGTTCAAAATAATCAAATACCATGAAACTTACTTCGTCATTAAACATTCATTGTCTTCTACGTTTCCTTTCTTTTCCCAAAATATCTTATCTTGTACTACCAATTCATTTAAAAATCCGCTTAAAGAAATTTCGCTCATATCAAAACTTGGTTTATTTAAATTATCCATGTTTTATTTTTAATCGCAACACTGAAATATAAGTGTAAAGAAATTAAATTCACTCATATTGGTATAGTGATTAGTTTTATAAAAGCAGCAAATAATGGCTACAAATCGTGTATGCTATGATAAAATGATATACAGGATTCATAGTAATAATTGAAAGGTGCAAAATGATGAGATTATTTATACATAGAAATCACCAAAATCAAAAAAATTTTCCCTCCGAATATATTTTGAAAAAATTTTATTGAACATATTCTCAATTTGATCATGTTCAGTGTATACCAATATTTTTAATAGAAGTTTGCACAAATCAATATATTATATATAACGAGAATTTTAAAATATATAGAAATATATGAGTGTGGATCTGCATAATTTGGTTTGGTTTTCTAATTTATTACAATCACTACTTATCAATGACCTTTTTTTTGCATGTAAGATATTATATGGTATGAAAATAATTTGTCGAATTTCATAAATTTTTTGAATCCAAGAATATATTACCGATATATTTGAGCAGAATTATTCGAATAGTTTTATTCAATTTGAACATTCCTTGGTCATCAACAAATTTTTACATCTTAATTAGTATCTATCTATAATATATCAATAAATTTTGAAAAAAGTTTACTGCAAATTAATATATACATTTTGGCATATAATGAATAACGGACGGCTTTTAGATAAAATATAATATTGTTTATCAAATATTTAGAATCCAAGTTTTTTTTGTAAATGTAACAATACAACATTCAGGTAACCATCAACCCCAAAGAGGTACCGGTAACTACTAATTTAAATAACGAAGAAAATTAATGCAAAAGTTCCACATATTATCAATGTTGCTAGCTTGTACAAAATAAAGCACCCTCATAAATTAAGTTATTACACTATAAAAACTACACACCGCTATGCCTGGGGCCAAAAATATCAACATCACACTTGTCCCAAACTATTAAACTTTCTAAGACCAACCCAATGACATCTATTTGAAAACACGGTATCATAATCGCAGTTTAAAAACCCATTCCAAAAAAAAATCGAAGAACTGGTAACCCTATACATGCACAGGAAAATAGCTATTGAACGGACAATTACTTGCACCCGCACAGAGTCATCTACAATGTAGACAATGTTGAGAGATATGCATACTCACTTATACATATATACTAAGCAAATATACTTTGCATTGCAACACCCATTCCACATACCAACAGAAAAAATAACAATAAAAAAAACAATGATTAAGCGACTTGCGTCATGGTTTTCTAACATGGGTGTGCTTTGGTTAAAGTGGCATAACCCTTTTTTAAAAGAAATTTAAAAAGTGAAAAAGTATATTTGCTAAAATTGCCATTAAATTAACTATTTAACACCATAAAAATTTCTAAAATTGTATAATAAATTACAGTAGGATGAATGATAGTTAAACTGCAATTAAAACTACTGAAATCCAAATCTAAATAAACTACAATAAACTAATGAGAAATTGCCATGAACCCAACAAAAGCAAATAGGGCAGGTAAATAATTGCAGTGAAAACATGATAAGTTAAAATTGAATCTAGCGAGATTAATATTCAAATAAATGTTAACTGTGGGTAAAATAAAATGAAATTGCATGCACAATTATTCAAACAATGATTATAAAAATTATATGCACAAAATATAGTAGAAGACTAAAATTTCTCGGATTTTTCTTGAGTTTTATGTAAGGTCTTCAGATATTCCAGGATGTGAGGATAAATCGTGTCAGTTTCTGTTCCACTGAAGGAATGCAAAAGTTGTTTTTCTTCAAAAAAATCAAGCAGAGGCTGCGTTTGTTCCACATAAGTTTTCTGCCTTTGATGAATCGTTTCTGGTTTGTCATCATCCCGTTGAACCAAAGGTTCGCCAGTGAGGTCGTCGAAACCTGGCTTATGAGGGGGATTGAAACCTTCATTGTAAACACGACCACTCGAAAGATGAGTCCATCTCCCACTTAAACGTTCCATGATTGTATCAAAAGGAACATCAAGATTGATCACTGTGTCGATTCTTTCCCCATGATACAAAGATTCAGCCTGAAATAATGTTCTAGGAAAACCATCTAACACCCAACTGGTATATGACGGAATATTTTTTAGCTGTGAAAGAACCAATGACACCATAACACCATCAGGAACAAGCTTTCCAGTGTCAATATACTCTTTTGCCATGGTAGCATGTTTTGCATTGTTCATTATTCCACTTCTCAATAGATCTCCACTAGATATGTGATGCATGTCAAAATCTCTCCGTATTCTCGTCGAAACGGTTCCTTTCCCTGATCCAGGAGGTCCCATAACAAGAGCATGAATGGCGCGTCGCAATCCAGTGAACCTCATACTTTTTATCTCACTATTTTTATCTATACAAACTGCAATGACAATAAATTATATAAATTTAGAATTGATCATTGAAGTAGTATAGAACTGTAGAAAGAGACTGGCAGTCTCCCCATTTATAAGAAATATATTTATTTTAAACCAATGTGCCATAAAAATAATCTGGCTTATTTGCATAACTGTTTGATTCACTTTAAAGTCTTGGTTTAGACATAAATATACACAAAACAAAGCCATCAAATGCATTTGTGAATACAGAACAAATTATCAAATAATTAGCTTTTCAAATTAATCATTTACGAGAAAGTATTTACTTCTCCAAGTAATCAGGTAGCCTACTCCATGTGATGATTGAGGTGCTGCATTTACAAAACGCAAAACGAGAGAAATCCGTCACGAGTAAAAATGTCAGCATTCAATCGATAAATGACGCATCTTGACAGATTCATGTTAAGATCATATTAATCAGTGTCTTGGAATATTTTGTAGCGTTTTGACTTTTGAGAAATGTTTACAAATTACTTTTTGTTAATAAGAAAATTAATATTGTTGAAAAACACATATAAATCACTAATCCCTTAATATGCGTCATATCATATCTATGGAATTTCGAGACCTTATCCTAAGAAAGGTCATTGAGGCCGCTGGGCATTGTCGCAAATTCAGCGCTGGAGTGAACTTTTCTAGCAAAGACAAGGTTCGATTGACCTGATTTTGCTTTCAATGTTCCATAACAGGCATCATTATTGCCCTGTTATGATGCACCACCTTTGTTAAAAATTGTCCAATATTATTTGTTCCACGCATAATATATAACTTAAATATTACTGTTCCTGCCCATAATTCAACTGATATATTTGTAGTCCCACTATAGCTGCAGGCAATTCCCCACAGTAGTTATGATCGTTTTGATTCATAATGTTATTCAACAATTTTTTTGTTGTAAGTGTGCTCACTGAAGTATGACGAACTGACGATAGAGCTTAAAATCGACATATTACCTTTTTTTTCTCTCTCATATAACCTCTCATTCTCTCATAAATTTTTGTTCACAAATTGCGTTTTATCTACTTATGTTAATATAGTTTTGTAAATGTTTGACGTTATCTGCTGCTGACAAATGGAGACTCGATGGCTCTGATAGTCTTTTTCGGGACCTCTCGTCCATTGCAGTTCAAATATTGTATATTTTTTTTTCTTTATTTTTATTGATATGTACGATGTTTGTTGCAAGGCGAAAATCGATATCTAAAACTGAACTTCGATACCAGGAATCCAGGATACCGCATAACAGTATGGTACGGTACCTAGCAGACATGATGCATACATTTTTTGCGCAAAAATTTGTGCGTTTTGCAACATTCCTAATTACACCAAATAGTAATCAAAACAAAAAGAAAACCAATGACTTGTATGTTGGTAAAACACAAAATTGCATGAAAGACACACAGGGCAGAAATTGAGGAAAATTGCCTGAATTTTAAATGAATGAAGAAATCTGGACGTAGGAATTGCAAAGCAGAAAGGAATTGCAGAGCAGAATTTAGGAACTGCGAGCAGCATCTTCAAATTAACTTTTTGTATTGGTCCCAAGGCTGACGGCTAACTCGCCATGGAGGCTAACTCGCCATGGACCACTCGCCATGCGACGGCGGTTAACAGGTATGCCTGCAACCGCACGAAGGCTCTTCTTGTAATGGGAGATGGAAAGGTGGCTGTTTCACTTACAACTTCAATAGCGAGGATAAATATATTAAATTAAATGTGTTTGCTTAGAATACTGAGCACGTTTTCTTGTCACTTTGTTATCCCTTGCACAGTATTCTAAGCAAACACCATTAGTGGTGGTAGCCTAAAAGTCTCATTGCGCGCAGCGCATTACGCACAGTGAGGCCGCATTAGGAGCAGCGCATTGAGCACAGTGAAGCCGCATTAGGCGCAGCGCATTAGGCACAATGCGAGATCGCATTAGGAGCAGCGCATTGGGCACAGTGAAGCCGCATTAGGCGCAGCGCATTGGGCACAATGCAAGATCGCATTAGGAGCAGCGCATTGGACACAATACGTGGTTGCATTAAAAGCAGCGCATTAGGCACAGTGAGGCCGTATTAGCAGCAGCGCATTACACACAGTCAGGATTTAGCATTAAGTTACAGTAACGTGTCACCAATCTAGTTCAATCAAATTCGAGTACCAAGTCAAGTCGAATCACTGTTGCTACTATCTAAAAGTTCACTGTGCCCAATGCGCTGCTCCTAATGCGGCCTCACTGTGCGTAATGCGCTGCTCCTAATGAGCTGCGCGCAATGATACTTTTAGGCTACCAACCCCTCTCGCAAACACATTTAATTCTGTAATTTAATATATTTATCCTCGCTATTGAAGTTGTAAGTGAAACAGCCACCTTTCCATCTCCCATTACAAGAAGAGCCTTTGTGCAGTTGCAGGCATATCCGTTAACCGCCGTCGCATGGCGTGTGGTCCATGGCGAGTTAGCCTCCATTGCGAGTTAGCCTCCACCCGGTCCCAATGGTCTGTTTGAGCCATACTATCTGTGCGTAAATTTGTGGAAAGTCTAAACATATTACCGGTACCATGGAAATCCACGGCATTGTATTACCGGTACCTACAGTCTAGTAGTCTACGGACTGATAGTAAGAGACCTAGGCAGTGTTCCCTCTAAGGTATGCGCGCGCACACAGCTTTCAGAGGCTGCGCACACGCATAGATTTAATGCGCACAGACGTATTTCGATGTAATGAAACAATGTTCTTTCGTTCTTTTTCACCCTTTATTTGAATTCAAATAAAACCATCTGTTACAATCAATTTCATTTATTATTTTCCATGTATGTTCATTGTTATCTACTGATAACATATAGCCTTCACTAAAGCATTTAAAATCTATAGAAAAACTTATTGAATAACCAAAATTTTCTTAATAAGCCCACCCATTACCCGGTTTGAACGCCAAAATTTCTTCATTGGTTTTTGCACAAATATTAGTCATTTCCAAAAAAAAAGTGCGCACACACCAAAATTTCTGCGTACACATACTACAAAAATTAGAGGGAACATTGGACCTAGGCTATCTAAAATATAATCCTCTCTTTATTTTTCTCGGCTACCGGTACCGGTACCGTATATCGAGATGGTGCATTGTTGCATCCTATGATTGCAGAACACGATTGAAAACAATCACTAATCGCTCCCTTGGTTTGGCCCAAACACAAGAAAGACAAACAGCAGACGCAGAAACAGGTGAAATGGATGGCCGACTCGCCGTCCAAAGGGGAATCCCCAAGGCCGACGGGGCGATTTGTGTCCTGGACCCGCTGTTTTGTTTTCGAACTAGATAGGTCATTCCCTTTCGCTGCGCCCGCTACCTTTCGTTCATCACGTACTGTGACATTTGATGCGTGACCTTGAGTTTGGTTGGGTTTTGTAATATCAAATGCCATGAATTTTTATGGGGTTCAAAATGGGAGAGAATGAAACGTAAGACATTAATTGCATTTGTAAAGGAAGGGGGGTCAATATGCTTGATGTGGGAATCATTTTTCATTGGTCAAAAATTAAGATTGGTTAAATGTTTAGTAAATGACGAAATTGATGTCTCATGGAAATCCATAGAAATATTTTTCTTAAATTTGTATGGAGGAGCGGCCTTATTTTATGAAATTGTATATTCGCATCAGTGGCCCAAGCGGTTAGAATTTAGAAATTTAAGCCGCAAAACCAAAAGCTGCATTGCAAATCCAGTTATGCCTACGGTAATATATTTACGGTTATGCACATCTTATAACGTTGATGCTAGTTCTGCTCAAATCGGTTTGTTACGTAACAATGCCAGGGAGTCGTCCATTTTCGGCGTCTTTTGGTTTGATCGCACCGGCAAAATAACGAAGGCTGTCAGAAAGATGTCGAAAGCAAAACCTCTAAATGGCGCACAGAAACACAGAAAAAGGGCAGAAGAGGAAGCACGTATGAAAAAAATCAATGTAACCAAGACAAGCGGCAAATTTCAGGTTACCATTGCTATTTAATAGCTAGTTTTTTGACAAAATGAAAAAAGCGTTGTTTCAGCTATGTCCGAGAGTTTTTAAGGTCATTTCCACGAAATATTTTTGCGGGGGGGGGGCACGAGAGTCTTGCTACGCCTCTGATTCGCATGGAGTGTATAGTATTAAAAGCTCGAAGACGACGTCCGAATTTAGATCCAAGCTTGAGAGTACATAGAAGATAAGAAAAGAATTACAGATATGATAAATACCCCCAATCGATTAAAAATGTCATCATGCAACAAACCATCATTGATCGGAAAACAAGTTTCAATACCCCAACGGATGTATTGTCTCTCTTTCCCGCATAGTTTTATTGTTTATTTACTTCCTTCGCTGGATCGTCAATTATGCAAATTAGATCATTCAATAAAAATTTGTAATTATCATGCTAAGACATAGCGACAATAAATTTCACGCAATAGCGCTCATGAAAGTGGCCGCATTGTATGCCAGACTCTCTATTATTCCCATATCTTTGGTCCAGTGCAAACTATGATTAACAACTCAAGTTTAAACAAAGGTTTTCTACATTTATCTTTTACAAATTTTTTCTCGTGTTGTGGCCTCATCCAACGTTGGTTTCTGGCAAGTTTATATCCCGAACAAATCTTTACGTGTTTCGTGAGACTTAGTGTAAAAACATATCAATTCAGCGACCCATACCTTATCTCCATCTTTTCACACCGGAACCTGGGATATGGACGTGCCATAAACTGACTATTGTACATATCGTCGTTGTGCCTTACCTCTTTGTCTTGTGTATTTTATTTGGGTTTTATTCGTATAGTCAATTTCGTGTCTGTTGTCCTATTATAACGCAGAAGTGCTAAACTGCTGTTATCATTGTTAGAGGTACATGTCGCACATCTGTGTCTTAGGCCAGTAAGGTCTTGAACATGTATCCCGTCTCTGTTTTACTGTTTAATTATTATGCAGATACTGTTACATTTTTGAGGCAAATAAACATACATTCAT